AGAACATTTTCCAGGGTGCCTTCCTGTGGTCTGGGAATGATGCTGAGTCACATGAGAGCTGGTCTCCTGCAAGGAGGCAGGAAAGGTGCTGCCAAAGGAGGTCACTAGCACCTCTCCTGGTCCAGTCAGTCCTGGTGGGGGCAATATGCACACTGCTATGGCACAGAGAGGAGAGGGAAAAGTCTTCCACCAAGGGACTCACAGATGTAGGCCTCAAAGCTCAGCAGGTAAGAAGTTGGTCTGAGCTTATTTATACCCTGAGGTCATCATGTACCCCTAACTTATTATTACTGCCCTGGTTTAAATCGTCCCCCTCACTCTGAAATGAGTTGCCATCTTCAAGCCCATTAAGACTTTCAATTTGGCATTGGTGACAGAGGAGATCATTTTTTCTTTTCTTGCGAAGAAAAGAAGGTTTTAGGAGTATGATCCTTAGAGACACATGGAAAAATTATGGGAATTTTTTTGAAGAGAAATGAAGGCTTTAATTATGGGATTCTGGAGACAGAGACAGAAAAAGAACGTTCTCCAAGGTTTTTTCCATTTTTCATCCATTACAAAATCTCTCAAAGGCATGGATTACGTCTGGCATGTTATTTGGAGCCTGGCACACTGGTTATCAATAGCATGTTAAATACTGATGGCTTAATAATGTTACTCTATATTGGACTTCCAAAACCAGTACTGTGGCTATAGCTTCCCTATGAAGGCAAGCAAGCTGAGCTTCCTGTGGCATAAATTCCCTCGGATGTCTGTTGAAAGGAAAAAGACCCCAAATGGCTCTCATCAACTAAATAACCAAGGAAAATGATTATGAAGATTATAATTATTTTTAAATTTGAACAGGAAGCACTGTTGTTCCAAAGGTTTCTTTAAAAATGAGTATTCAGGCAAGAATCATCAATGGATACTAATGCCATAGATGAAAGTCTATTGAGGAAGAAGACAGCCACACAGTCTCAAAGTATCACCCAACAAAAGGTATTTACAAAGGGAAAAAGGTACCTTAAAGATGGAGAAATTTTGCAAATGCTGCCTTAAAGTGATTAAACTTAACATCACCAATAATAAGACAAATGGACATCATGTCCCCCTGCTGTGATGCCCTGAGAAGGACACATCACTGATGTAGTATTCTTGCCAAAAATGTTTACCTGAATCTAATAGTGAAGGAATAATCAGACAAAATCCAAACTGAGAGGAATTCTGCAAAAAAACTAGCCTGACCTCTTCAAAAATGTCAATGTCATGAAAAATACAAAAGGCTGGGGACTGTTTTAAATTGAAAGAGATTAAAGAGACATAAGAACTTAATGCAAGATCTTTGGTAGGATCCTAGACTGGAGGGGAAAAAATCAGCTATAAAGAACATTATTTGGAAATTAGGGACACTTGAACATAGGTCTTATGTAATATTTATTGGATTACTGTTGTTTTGAAAGGTATTTTGCTGGGTATAGAATTCTAGATTGACAGTTTTTTCTTTCAGTACTTTCAAGATGTTGCTATACTGTTTTCTGATCTGCACTGTTTCTGGCTGAGCTGAGAACTCAACAGAACAAGAGTTGCAGTAGTCAAATGCTGGAGAAAGTTGTGCCCTGCAGGAACTGGGCACTGGAGACACCTCAGGGACCAAAGCAGTGGAAAAAGAAAAGTGTGCTGGAGCCTCCAGGGACTGGGCAAGCAAGCCACACTAGAACTGAAGGAAAGCCCCTTCCTCCTGCAAAGTCTCTCTGCACTCTATGGACAAGGCTTATCATCCTGCTGGCTGGCAAAGGAGAGAGATTTGCAAGGAATAGCTCCATTATCACTGAGGAGGCCACAAGGTGAATTTGGAGCTGAGGCAATAAACTGATGACCAACACAGTGGCTTTTTTGTTTTTCATTCTGGACAGTTTCTATTGCTGTGTCTTTAGGGTCACTATTGTTTTCTTCTGCAGTGTCTAATCTGCCCTTAATCCCAGTTTGCATAGTTTTCATCCCATTTTTTTAATCTCTAGAGGTTTTGAGACTTTATATCTTCGATATCTCTCCTTAATATGCTCAAGCTTTCTTCTACCATCTGAATATATGAAATATAGTTATAACTGTTTGAATGTCCTTTACTACTAATTCTATCATCTGTTATTTCTTAGTCTATTTCTTGATTTCTCATCATGCCTGGTAATTTTTGATTGGACACCAGACATTAGAAATGTTGACTTATTGAGTGTATTTTTATATTCCTTAAAATATTCTTGAGCTTTATTCTGGGACACAATTACTAAGAAACAGTTAGATCCTTTCAAAACTTGCTTTTAAGCTTTGTTAGCCAGGATTGGCCATCCTTCAGTCTAAGGTTACTCTGGCCCAACTTCCGAGGTATTAGCTCAGTATTCTGGGTACTCCACCTGATGTCCAAGTCAAAAAACTGTTTTAGGTCTTACCTACAATAGATACTATAGAAATCCAGGTGTAAAAGATGGTAAAATCAACCTTTGGCTTCTGACTCCAAATAGGAGCATCAACCCAAGTGGTTATCTGTTGTGTATCTTTTCAATATACAGTACAAATTTAAGCAGAGTGGCTCCTAATGCAGACTTTGCTTCATCAATTACACACACTCTCTCTCTTTCCTAGTAGACTCAACCCTTCGCATTCCACGAGCTAGTTCCCTTCAGCCAAAAAATCACGTTCAAGTTTTCCTCTCAAACTCCCTCCACCAAAAAACCCCACAAAAAATAGCCCTCTGCCCCTCCAAAATGTTCTTTGACCCTGCTTTTCTCCCCTGGCTCTGCCCTCTCTTTTCACTTGTGACCATCCCACCTTTCTGAACAGTCATCCATAGTGTGTTGGTTCAAAATTCCAACCTCTCTTCAACCCGTCATTTTCTATCTGACTTCTCCTGGCTAAGGTCACCGGAAATTTCCTAACTGCCAACTTCAATGGCTGCTGTGACTCAAGCTCACTCATACCAAGGATCTAGCACTTGTTCACCTCCCCCGTCTTTGGGAATTCTCCCCTGCCTTGGCTTCCATAACATTACGATCTTCCAATCCTACCTTCTTGTTACTACTCTTCTTCAACACTCTTTGAAAAATTAAAGTTTTTCCTAACTATTAAAATAAAATATAGTCACTTTAGAAAACACTTTCCATCTTTCTTTCTGGTTCCTTGTGGACGTTTCCCTTTAGACACAAGTGTTTCTCAGGTTTCCACCCTTAGCTCTCTTCTCATCCCACATGGTCTCCCCTCAGGAATCTTCTACATAAATGATTCTCAAATCTGAATCTCCAGCTCTTACCCCTTTCCTGTCTGAATATTTATCTTTTTAAAAACTCATTTTCATCAAAGCAACATACATAGTAATACACATAGTTTAAAAAGCCAGAGTATTACTAGGCTTAAAATGGAAAACAGCAGTTTCCTGTCCTGTTCCTCCCCTTCCTGAATACCCCTATCCCCTAAACTAAATATCCTACATACACTATTTCTTGCTTTATCATTTTAGAGATTATCTATTGACTTTCCTAGTATGGGAAATGGCACTTGTATGTACATCGCCTTATGTCCCCACTTTTTGTTTCTTCATCCTTTCAATATAGTTATAGCATGATTTTTGGTTAAATCATTATTTAGTGTTTATCTTATGACTTTATGAGTACTAATCGCTGCTGAGCCATTTTCTTCCTATATAATCTACTGTTCTTTCTAGAATTAACAGTTGCATCATTTAAAAAATTTACTTTTCTGTGTCACTATTGCTTAATTCTTTCCAAACTGTCCAACAGAAGTGTAACATCTGAATACTATTTCTCATAGACACATTGGTTATTCCATCAGTTCCATTTTTCCCTAATGACATCCCTTCTTGAGCCCTTTGCCTTCCTGATCCAGTCACATCCTGAATGAGAGGCCTTCTGTTCTGGGTAGGAGGAAGAACCTTTTAGTTCTCTTCTAATTCAACCAGTCCTGGAATGCTAGCACTCAAGAGTCCTCTGGGCCAATCTAATAGCTGTGATATTTATGGAGTATGTTGGTAACTAAAGGGACATACCTTCCTTTTAGACATTTGACCCTGATATAATTTAAAATGCTACTGAAAGATATCTTGCATTTCTTCTTTCTGTCCCAACTAAAACGGGAACAGTTCTTTGGACTTTGTTCTTGATGGCTACCACCAATAAAAATTGAAGACTTAAAAAATATCTTTATATTTGCTGTCAACACACACATTTTAAAGCATTTTAAGAGGTCCTTTAATTACACAGGAAAAAAAACTGTCGCCAGAGATCTAAATGGTAGTTTTTCATTGACCTAATCACATAATCTTCTTTGGGGCCTGAGTCTGCTCTGCTGCATGGCAAAACCAAATGACACCAGGTCATAAGGCCCTTGCACATATCTGACTCCTGGATCTGATACAGAGAAAGAAGTACATTAATAACTATGATCAAGTACTTGGAACCTCTTCATTGAGAGAAGCTACTCAAGTCAGGAAGTGCCATATCATGGTGAGACTCTGCATAAACTCAGTTAACCAAGGGATGAAGGATGACCAAGAAGCAGGTGAAACAATGAAATGCCCACTGCAGCTGTTGCCTCCTTCTCTGGGTGTGTTATCTGAGTTTGAGTCGGACTCCCATGTTAATGTCCATCAGAAGAAAGCATCACATACGGAAAACAGAAATATAGTTTTTGTTTTTTCAAAACATAAGTCAGGTCAGACTCAGGTAAACCAAAGCTATAACATCCAAGAAGATGCAGTCACTCTTTTGCTCCTGAGAAGCCATGGCATCTGAGGTGGTTAGCATGGCTCCTGACACACCTATCTCCTTTTCAGCTTATTGTTTTGAAGATGGCACATCTCAAATTACTGGTGAATTAACTGAATGCTGAATGTTTAAAAAAAAGAGTAATCTCATGCATCAAATTTAGGAAAAGACAGAGAAAAACGCAAAGATAGAAATAATTGTCACACAGTCTTCTAGAATTTACATGTACCACATTAACCTGTGAACTTTTCTTGAATAGTATTTATATGTTATAGGTGCAAATAAACAAAATAATTACATTTCCCAGTAAAGCTTATTTAATAATATAAAAATATGGTATTAAATACATTTATTAAGAAAGAAGTAACTTCAGAAGTCTTCTGACTATATAATGAAAAATAAACGAAAACTGTTCTGTGCTTTCCATATTAACAAAACAAAACAACTCCACGTGTCACTTCTCATTTCACAACAGGGAAATTCTTCTAGTGCTTCTCTACCTAATACAATTCTAGTTTATTTTTTTAAGTCAGAAACACGAATATGCACTCAAACTTCTTCCTTAATTTGCTTTCCTAAGGAGGAATGTCAGCCTCCTGAGAGAAAATGGAATGTTTATAATCTGGAGCCTCTCTCTGTTGCCTAACATTCAAGGAAAGCTGGTTTTCCTCTAACTTAGCCAACTTTCATTCAGAAGATTTTAGTAAAATACATTTAAAGCTTGGTATTGTGACCATGCAGAAGAAAGACAACTTTAAAATGAAATAAGGGCTACCATTAAAAGCTGGTGTACAGTAAATGTTCTCAACTGTGTAAGTGTTTAATAGTCTGACACTTCCCTCTGATTCCTAAAATGAGTCCTTGTGCTCAGTCTGGCCCACTGACTCTTAGAGGAAATGTGTGACAACAATAGCCAAGACCTATACAGTGCTTCCCCTTACTTCTCCTTGAGTTTTTGTCCTGTGGATGTGAATCACTAATATGCATTTCTCAAGTTTTAGGAGGTAAATGAGGCCAAAAAAAAAAAACGTCATCTTTGAGATTTGCTTCAGTTCTTGTTTAAGCTTTGTGGAGTAACACATAGGAGGCTAAAGCAGAAATAGGTATTGCTTCATTAACAATGAGTCCAGCTGGCTTAGTGAAGAGAACATATGTTTCCTTCCTAACCTTCTAATTTCCCATTTACCTACAAATCTGAGGGTTTTAATCTGCCTGGGTCCCTCAGCAAGAAGGTCAGAAGTCATTGTCACTCTCATCCAGGGGCTCAGGTTTCCGAACCCTTCGACTGGGCTTCGCTGGTGAGAGAGCGATGCTCTCATCTTCCAAATCATCATCATCTTCTTCATCATCTTCCATATCAATTTCACTGTCCTCTGAGTCTTCCTATAGGAAAAAGACAGTAAACAGAAGTAAGGGTCCCATCCTATTACTGACATCTTGTCAGCAAAGACCCTACTTCACTTTTTACTAGTAGCTCAATAACTAGCAAGCCAGCCCTAGTGGTCTAGTGGTTAAGATTTGGTGCTCTCACCGCCACGGCCTGAATTCATTTCCCAGTCAGAGAACCACAACACCTGTCTGTCAGTTGTCACCCTGGGGCAGCTGTGTGTTGCTGAAAGGTATGCCACTAGTATTTCAAATACCAGCAGGGTCACCCAAGGTGGACAGGTTTCAGTGGAACTTCCAAACTAAGACAGACTAGGAAGAAGGACCTGGCCACCCACTTTCAAAGAACTTGGCCATGAAAACCCTGTGAACAGCAGCAGAGCATTGTCTGATATAGCGCTGGAAGGTGAGAGAGTGGCGCAAAAAGACAGGGCAGGGAGGGTTCAGCTCTCCTGTACACAGGGTCACTAGGAGTCAGAATTGACTTGACAGCACTAAGAATAACCAGCAACACCCTCATGTGAAGGAAGAGCATGGCAGAGAAGCAAGCAGTCAGGCTGTGGGGGCATAAGATGAGACCAATGTCTAGATATTGCTGGCTGAAATACAGACGTAAATATATCATCTAACCAGTAACCTTCAAATACCACTGTGCAATCCAAGGCTGGCACTGCAGGGATTGGCTTTCCCACTGATGCCTCAAAAACACCACTGGATCTGCACTGAGCAAGGCTCACTGGATGCTGCTTTGCTCCTAGGGGCCAGAGACCCCCCAGTGGATAGTAAGGAGGGTGGGGACTTGGAGAGAGGGAAGCTAGGCTTATTTTGGCTTTGGTCAGATTGGGGATGGAAATCGACACCGGAAATGGGAGCAAGGAACAAAATAAAAGAAACACTCTCTCCTTCTTCACCTAGATCTAGGGTGACCAACTCAGCCAGGTAAAAAAAAAGTAAGTCCTGCATCCCAGGTAAACTAGGATGGTTGGTCACTCTAGATCATTCCCACCAGCATATACACATGCTGCTATTTCCTTCTTAAAAAAACAAAACAAAAAAATCCCAAAACTTAATCCCACCTTCCTCTTCAGCTACTCTGTCCTGTTTCTCTAGTCACTTCACAGCAAGAAAAAAAATGAGTTTTGAGCTCGCTGTCCCTACTTGTTCCCCCTCTCATTGCCTCTTAGGCACACTCTAGTCAGGCTCTCACCCCACCAATGCCCCCAAACTGCTCTTGTCAAGACTGAAACATCTGATGGATTCAAATCCAATGGGTAATGCTCAGTCCTCTGGTTTGACCTACAGGCTGCACCCGACACAGAATCACTCCTTCTTCCTTGGAATGCACTCTCTCTGTCCTCCAGGGCACCCTTCTCTCTGGGTGCTCACCCTACCTCACTGTGGCATCTTCTCAGTCTCATCTGCTGACCCTCTTCATCTCCCTGCAATGTGGGGTTGGCTCGGGGCTCAATTCAATCTCTAGCCCAGACCTGACCCGTGAACTCCAGACTTGAATTTCAACTGGCTACTCAACACTGGCATACGGATGCCTATCAGATGGCTCACACCTAGAAGGTCCAAAACCAAAGTCTTGATCTGCTCTCCAAATCCCTTCCTCAAGTCTGCTTCATCTCGGGGAATGAAAGTTCTCTGCTTTCACCCGAGTATGCCATAACCAAGGCATCCTTCACTTCTCTTTAATATCTCATGTCCAATTAACAAAACCCAAAGGTTCTCACCTTAGAAATATATCCAGAATCTGACCATTTCTCAACTCCTCCACTCCTATCCCCTTAGGCTGGGCCACTGACACCTCTGAACTAGACTACTGCAAATGCCTCCCAACTGGGTTCTCGTAAATGTGAGTCAGCTCTTGGCACTCCTGGCCTTGCGATTCTCCAGCGCCTTCCCACTATACTCAGAGACAATGCTGAGTCTTCATCACATCCTGCAAAGCTCTGCATGGCCCCTGCTGCCTTTCCTATCACTTTTGCCCCCAGTTCACTCTATCCTAGTCATATCACCACCTCTGGTCCTTGAATGCAGAAACTACATTCCCTGGGACTCAAGATACCCCTTCCCAGCACCATGTCCCTCCTTCCATTCAGGCCTCTGCTCAAATGCCACCTTATCAGAAAGACTTTCCCTGACCAATTAAGAGACATCAATCTCCCCCCATCATGCCTGTCACTTTGTCTCCTGAACCTGCTTTATTTTCCTTCCTACCACTATGACCCCGATGTATCTGCTTGATTACTGTTGGAATGTAAACTCCACAAAGGCAGGGGGCCTTATTTCTTTTCACTGCTATATTCCCCAGAATCCATAACAGCACTTGGCACATAACAGGCATTCAATAAATATCTGTTGAGTGACTGGGTGAACACATGAAGGACAAACCCCTAGGCCGAGGGGGATGTGTGGAAACAGCCTCCCTGAAATAAACAAGTGACAACAACAGGCACAGAACAGATTTAAGCTACAACTAACGCATTCATTCTTAAAAGTAGAAAGCTAAACAATGATCAAGCAAATGATAAGGAAAGAGGCCAGCCAGTGCTCTCCAGGCATCACCAGCTCCCATGCCAGACTTTCCCTATTTCTGTCTTGGATGGGTAAGATGGATAGAGAGAAGCGGTTTAACCATCCATCCCCTACCTTGCTAAAATTTTTTTGAGGTGGTTTCTCTGCTTATCTAAAGACTGTCTTCTAATTTAAGGCTCTATTTTCTATGTGCATCTTGCTCAGCAAACCTGAGTGACCTCCCCCTCCTGTGAATTTCTGTAACAGTATACACTGTTGGTACTAAATAAATGGATCTTTTGTATAAGAACATAAGGCCCATGCTTCTGTTTCTGTGCAGTCACTAGTGCCACACTCTAGACACAGTGGCATTCCACTGGATGGGGAGGCCTGTGATCCATGTCAGTCTAGTCACCCTTTGCCTCTTGGGCCTCACAGCACTGCCAGAGACTGCAACAAAGAAGGATCATGGTGATGGACAGTACAGCCCCAACAGCTGGGCCGCAGCAAGGACCCCGGGTTTCCCCATTCTGGTTCATTTCCTAGTCAGTTATCAACTCAATAATGCTCAAGGCATCAGCAGCCTGATGTCACAGCCTCCTGCCAGCTTCTCTGAGGCCCTGGTCTCAAGAGAGCCTCCTTTTCATGCTCCCTCCCCAGAATGGAGCAGAAGAAAGGGCTGGTCTTGACCCCTGGGCCTCAGTAGCATACCTTTCTTTCTAGGTTACAGTTCAAGGGCCTGATGATTCCTCTAACCATGACCTTTCTTGTCTCTTGGCTCAGCACTTGCCTCTCCTACTTAGCATAGGGACTTTTGTGTAATTTCACCATTGACTGTGGGACCCATTTTGAGTGGCTTCTTGCCTAGGATACATAGGCATCACTCATGGGGAAGGCTCTGCGCTGGCCCTGAGTGGGCTCACACACACACACACACAAATGGATGAGGTAAAAAAGAAAACCAACCTGCTTCTTGGAGCTGGAAGTCTTGCATTTACCTAAGAGAGCTGGTGCTGCTTCCATCTTTGGAAAGCGAGAATGGAAAGAATAGTGAGAAAGAAAACAAAAAGCAGGGCAAGCACATTCATTTGAAAAGAAAAGAAATGAGCGGTCAACAAGCAAGGAAGAGAGTCCAGCTCCTTGGGAGGCTCAACTGCCACAAATCCTGCAACGGGCTGGACTGAGAAGCAGCACCTCACGCTAAGCTGGTTGGATGTGCCAGCTCCTCTGCTAAGCTAGTCTATGAGGCCAGCCCAAGACCGGAAAGAACAGAACTGCTAAGGGGAGCTGGCCAGGACTCACATCGTCATCAGAGTCTCCACCTTGCATTGTGCCCACGATGCGTTTGCTGGGTCTTCCTGAGGAGAACAAAAGCATGAAGAAATTATGAAAACCTTGCAAAATAAGGCAAGAAATGGCATTCAAGATTTGTTTTACTTTAGAAAATTGGGAGAAAGAAGAATCACACTGAAAAATTTACTTAAGTAGCATGCAACTAATTAGAACTGTCAACAAATGGTAATGGATTTTCTGCATTTTCACTTTCAAAAAAGGCAAAGGGGAATAAAATGTAAGCACAAATCATAAATCATAAATATGCATCCTATAAATGTTTTAGGGAAAATCACTGAATCCCACTATTAGTTTACATGAAGTGGAACACGTATATGCTATCTGTTGAAAAAAGAAGTTCTCCCTTTATGGACCAATATCACTTGTACTCAGACCTATGTCTGAGCTTCAGAAAGGAAAATTTTAAGTATCACAATTAGTTCATCTTTCAAAACACCTAAGCAATCCTCCACTCCTCCTCTGGAAGTCAATGTGGTCTAGATGTGACTTCTGCGAAAACTCAGGAGCCGTCATTTGCCAGCTGAAGGCAGAGAGCTCCCGAGGGGGAGGAAGATCACCCATGACCCCAGGTCCAGGCCTTGGGAGAACAGCAGCGAGGGCAGCTCAGAGAGGAGCTCATTCAGGAAAAGCCTGGATATGACCACCAAGAACTGTTTACGGAAACTTGGTCAGATAAAATGCAAATCTTGTGTTGCTTGAACAACTTATTTGGTTTTTGGAAACGGACCCTGCGATTGTACTTCTACAGGCTGAGTGGCCAGCAGTAGAATTTAGGAGCCCAGTGCCTTCACTAGGTTCTACTAAGCCAATCACATACCTTTTTAGAGACTTGGCTCCCATCTGTAGAAGGGGAGTCATAACCTCTAACCTCTATTTATGTCATGAAGATGTTTAAAAATAAAAGAAAAAAGGGGGTCTGGCCCCGTGGCTGAGTGGTTAAGTTTGCGCGCTCCACTGCAGGCGGCCCAGTGTTTCATTGGTTTGAATCCTGGGCGTGGACATGGCACTGCTCATCAAACTAGGCTGAAGCAGCGTCCCACATGCCACAACTAGAAGGACCCACAACGAAGAATATACAACTATGTACTGGGGGGCTTTGGGGAGAAAAAGGAAAAAAATAAAATCTTTAAAAAAAAAAAGAAAAAGAAAAAAAGAAAAGAAAAAAGGAATGACTAACAAACAATAATGTACAACTGAAATTTCACAAGGTGTAAACTATCATCTTAACAAAAAGTGAAAAAAAAGAAAACAAAACAAAACAAAAAAGGAAATCAGAGCCCCTAGTTATCCCATGAAAAAAGCGAAATGTAATAAAGACAGCTGAGCCTAGAGTAAGAGAAAACAGCTAACAACAGAAGTTGATATAAAATGATGAAGATGATTTACCACTTAAATGTATTATGTGCTAAACATGTAATTGTGCTACAAAAATTAACAGGTGGTAGATAAGAAATGCTTTTAAAGGCAAATATAGGACAATTTAGTAGTAGCTATCAAAATTAAAATTTATATAACTTTTGACCTAAGAATTCCACTTTTAATGATGCAACCTAAAGAAACACTAGCAGATAAGCAGAAAGATGTATACACAAGGAAAAGAGTGGAAATAAATTATCTATCAATATAGGAATGCCCAAGTAAATTATGGGTCCAGCCATACTAGGGAATACTACGCAGCTGTCAAAAAGAATGAAGCAGATTTTTATTTTACTGACAAGGGAAGAGTTCCAATACATTTAATTTAAAAAAATAGGCAGTTGAAGAACCTTACACAGAGTCTGGTCCTGTTCAAGTTAAAAAACATTTCAGGTAATCTTTGCGTCTATGTTTGACTGTGTGTGCATGTATGTGTAAAGGCAATTTAGAAGGACACACTCCCAGGCCACTGGCCATGAACCCTCTAGGGTGGAGAGTGGGACATGAGGAAGACCCCAGGGGAGCACCCACATTTGCTCCACATTTATAAAGTAGAAATTAGAACATTTTTTAAAAAGGCAAAGATGCTCGTGTAAGTCCCTGCTTTGCACATAATTCTCTGACTATAAGGGATATAACTGCACTGAGAGCAGTTTGGACCCAAAAAGGACAGAATACAGGTCAGTGGTAAAAGCAGTGTGTTCCTGTGGCCTCTGTGAGAAATACCAAGTCACAAGGAAGAACTGGCCATTCTTGGGACCACAGGTAGGAGTATTAGCGGCAAAGATGACCACTGAGCAGTTTAAGAGTCATATCCTGACAAACAACAAGGCAGGATAAACCCTGCAGCAGGGGCCACTCACAGTGTGCTTATGGGCCTTAATACCAAGCGGCCCTGACCCAATCCTGGCCATGGTGTTCTGTGACAGGGCACAGGGAGGAAGGCAAGCAAAAGAAGCCATGGTACCTTGCATGAGCACCTCCATGGCTGTCCGTGGCTTGGACAGCCGTCTCTCTTCCAATTCACTGTCAGATTCATCATCCTCATGGATGTCAATGTCCGAGTCATCGTTACCTGGCAGGAACACAAGCAGGCAAAACAAAAGGGCAGCTCCATCATTACCTCTAAAACAGCCTCTGTCCAGTAAGGCTCTTGTGCAAAAGTCATCGGCACTTCTCAGCCTTTCTTTTGATGCATTAGATTTTATGAGACTCAGGATTTCCCGGTATATACTTAGTGAGGAGCTAATGCACACAACAATAGGGTGAGGTTTTTTTTGGCTGAGGAAGATTTACCCTGAGCTAACACCTGATGCCAATGTTCCTTTTATTGCTTGAGGAAGATTCATGCTGAGCTAACGTCCTCTATTTTGTATGTGGGTTGCCGCCACAGCATGGCTACCGCCAAGTGGTATAGGTCCACACCCAGGAACTGAACCTTGGCCGCCAAAGTGGAGCACCTCAAACTCAACCACTAGGTCATGGGGCTGGACCCCAGTTTTTTTTAAACAGTTTTCCAAAGCAAGAAAAAAGTGGGTCGGATATATTAGATAGAAACACTATTCCAGTATGTGAAACTAAATAACTGAATGGCCAGCTGCCAAGGTAGCTGGAAGTTCTTGGTTAGTTGAGGGAAAAAACCATCCTCTGTTCAGTCTCAGGTTATGTGACCAGAACTCGAGCTCCCTGAGGATAACAAAGACGAAGCGGAGCCCACTGAAAAAGGTCAGCGACTGCACCAAAACAAGACTGGAGGCAGGAAGGAGACCAGGCATGAACGGCATTGCTGGCCTGGGAAAGATGCCACCTAGTGACCGGCAACAAAAATTGGTCCTCGTGATATTCTTTACTGGAGAAAATCCCATTATAAAGAAAGGTCATTCTCAATGCAATGGCCTTGTACATTAATTTCTTAAATACTCTTTTGGAGTCTTATGCAGGTTGAACATTTCCCAATGGAAACCTACAGAAGGAGAATTTCCACAGTGGGGAGAAAAAGCTTTCACCACCTAGCCCTGATTTCTCCTCGCCCAGGAAGCAACACAGGATTTGGAAGGATGGAATTAGAGGAGCTTGCAGATGCTGTTCTGACCACTGACTCATGAGTCAGTTTGGAAGTAGAGTAATTGTTCATCTACAAAAGGCTTTGCTTAGCCCCTGCTATCAGAGGGTAATGAAATGGCAGCTGCATCTGGCTGGGCACTGAGGGAAAGTGTTCTGCTTTCTTCAGCCATGGAGAGAACAGCTGTGCTCTACAGCATGGAGGGGCAAACCCGGGAGCTGAGGAAAGTGTCAGTATTAGCATCCTGCAAGGACTTCAACACAATCAATCTGAAACCTATCACCTTGCAAAAGCATTTACAGAGAATATGATTAAATATGAATACAAATTATGACTATGAAGTGAAATCATTATTCAGCTTGGTTCACTCCTTACTTCATCCAGGGAATCATGACATTAAATCCTTATCTCATGCAATATAAATGAAATGATATCATGAATTTTAAAACAACATCAATACAGGTACCTCAGGCTCAACACAAGTTCTTCTGATAACTCAAAGCAATAGGCTGAGGACTGATCAGGTAAACCCGAGTCGACACATGCTGACACTGGAATCACCGAGTTGTCAGTGACATGTTAAAATTAAACAGAGTAACAAGGGTGCCAGGAAGGATTCTGCAAGGAAAGAATAGTCCTTCCAACAAATGGTGCCGGGACAACTGGATAGCCACATGCAAAAGAATGAGGCTGGACCCGCTACCTCATACCTCGACAGAAATTAACTAAAAATGGATCAGAGACCTAAATGTAAGAGTTAAAATTATAAAACTCCTAGAAAAAAAAATCAGGATAAATCTTGGTGACCCTGAATTAGACAGTGGTTTCTTAGATATGACACTAAAAGCATAACCAATAACAGGAAAAAATTGATAAATTAGACTTCATTAAAACTTTGTACAGCAAAGGATATCATCAAGAAAGTGAAAAGACAGCTTAGAGAATGAGAGAAAATAATTGCAAATCACAAATCACATAAGGGTCTAGTATCCAGAATATATAAAGAACTCTGACAACTCAATATGAAAAGATAAATAACCCAATTTAAAAATGTGCAAAGGACTTGAATAGACATCTCTCCAAAGAAGAAATATAAACAGCCAATAAGCACATGAGAAGATGCTCCACTTCATTAGCTGTCAGAGGAATTCAAATCAAAACCACACTGAGATACCACTTCATACCCACTTAGACTACACGCAGTTTCTTTGTAAGTTTCCCCTTTTAGATCAGTGCTGTCCAACAGAAATATAACGCCAGCCACAGATGTAATTTTAAATTTTCCAGTAACTACATTAAAGTAAAAAGAAACAGATGAATTAATTTTAATGGTGTTTTATTTAACCCCATATATCTAAAATATCATTTCAATAAGTAACCAATGTACTAAATTATTAGGGTATTTTTACTTTTCTTTCATACTAAGTCTTCAAAATCTGGTGTATATTCTCTACAAACAGCACATCTCAATTTGGACTAGCCGCATTTCAAGCATTCAAGAGCCACATGTGGCTCATGGCTAGGCACTGGATGGCACAGTTCTAGACTCCCTGTGGAGCTTCCTGTGTGCTCATCCATCACTGTGCACTGCGTGTCATGCAGTAAATACATGTTGAATGCATGAACATCTGCTCTCCAATACACCATAAAAATGGAATCATAGCAAGGTTACTCAAGTGCTTCCTAGAAATTGCTGGGTCATTTTATAAACTTAGAGGACTCTTTAAGTTCCTAATGCTATAGTGCTCAATCCTACAGATGATACGGTCATAAATTTACCACCAGCAATGAGATTTAAAAGGATGGTGGGAAGCTGAAGAGCAGCCCTTGACTTTTATCACAGGATATCTGAACAAAGTACTTTGCCTTTTTAATCTCTGGGGCCCCTATGGCATTCTCCCATTTCTAATCACTCAAACTTCCTCTTCCCCAAGTCCCATACTCCAAACCTCCAAAACCAAATTCAAGATGATTTCACCTCCTGCTTAACAGAGAAGATAGTATCCATCAGATGTGAACTCTTCAAGCATGTGACCCATCTTCCAGCTTATCTAACGTGCCTGAATTCGAGTCCTGTTGTGTTCATACATTTCCTCACTCATTGAAACTCATCCCCTTACCTGGGCTCTGGCTCCCGGCCTTTCTGGGACTTTCCTCATCCAGTATCTCCTTTCTCCCCAGCTCTATAATTTAGTCTGTTTAAATAGCGTCTCCTCAACGAGGTCTGTCCTGACCCCTATTTAAAACCGCAATTCTGTCACACCCTCTCCCTACCCCCTCTGTTTTCCTCGATGGCACTTTCACCTTCCACAAATAGCTTGCTTACTGTTTGTTTCCTAGCATGCTAGCACGTCACTAGCATCTAAGATCAGTTAAGGAAAAGATCCCCGTCTTTTGTCCACTGATGTATCCTTAGAACCCAGAACAGATACTCAGTAATGATTTGCTGGGTTGAATCAACTGCCTGCAGAAGGGCCTGAATCCCTTCCTGCTCTTGGATTTTGCTAATTCTTGCCCCCGATTCATGTCTGTATACTATTAAACTGTTCTGTTCGGAGGAGTCTTTCATAGATGGAAAAAAACTCAGAAAGTCTTCCTTTATACATGTCCTTCCTGATCCCAATACTCTGGGCGATATTCCCACATATGCAGAAAAGCAAAGAAAGAGAGGGCATCTCAAGAATCTTAGGATGAATAGAACTGAGAATGGTCCTTCATAAATATTTTCCTAAATTCTTTGCCCACCCCAAGCTAATTAAGTGTTATCCTTCATTAAGTTGTTTTAAATTGCAAATTATTTTTCCAAAAAAACTAAATCATATATGCTCATAAGACTCCTGTCCTTCAAGAGATCCCAAACCTACAGATCACAAAATTAAAGTCTGAGTTCAAAAGAATAAAGCAGGATCAGTGAGAAAGGTCTTAATGTGCTGGCCTGGGAGCAGAGTGGGATGCAGCCAACCAACCAGGGCTCTTACCTGTGCCAGGCTGCTCGGGAAGGGATAAACTCCATGCAGGCTTATCACTTAGGTCTGCTTCGGGCGCTCCTGGCTGACCTGGAACCATAAAGGTGAGGGGCTGCTTTGGCTAGAGAGGTTCTTGGAATTCCCTAAACTTGCCCCTAAAGGATTTTCCAGCAGTCCCTATTCTCCTTCCAGAATGTCCTGAGATTCAGGAGAGAGAGGCAGAGAAGAAGTACAAAAGGAAAGAGATATGAAGAGAAAAGACAGAGAGAGCTCATGCCTGATGTCCCAGGTATACCACCCTCAAGCATGAGAGAATGAAATACATCATCACGAAAGAAGAGAGCAATAAGCAAGAAGAGAAGTAACTCTGTGAGACAAAGCCATCAATTCCGCATGGAGATCATGTGCTGCTACTGCTCCCGAGGCTGACTCGACACCGTGCTGAAGCTCCAAGCTCCTGAACTCCAAGCTCTTTCCATTGCCCTCAAAACATGCCTGTCCTGTACCCTATTCCTCCACGGCCTGCATCTGCCATCTAGCAATGGTGGCAACAGGTTCCTCATCAAGACAAATGTGCCCATACGAATGCGTTAGTTACTCGTAGCCAGCCCTCCTGGACAAGAGAATAGCTTCACCTAATTCAAAAGTGTGTGAAGTGTGCTAACCAGTCATGGTCTTAAACGCAGGTAACCCTCGTTTCTCTACAGGTGATAGCCTTGCTGAACAGAGACATATGATGGGTGTTGCTGGGAAACATATGAAGGGCGTGTGTGGCGGGGAGACTATCTTTAAGCAAGTGACCCATTCACTTGCACTGCATTACAGTACTTGCTTTCTATCAGTCTGTCCTAAGTAAGGAACTTGACAGACCTCCAAGACTGAACTTTCTTCTATAATATTATATATTATACATAGTTCAAACCATCATTTAAACAAAGGAAAACACTACTTTATTTGGCATAAAAACCAAATGTGTTTTAAATGCTATATAATTTAAACCAGTCTCTCAAGTTCTAAAGTGAATTAAAATGGTACCTGATAAGAAAGTTGTGAGAAAATTGCCTTTTGAAAATAAATGAAACATATATATAAATTTTTCAAGGCTAAAAATTCTAGTCCAGAATAAAGACATGTATTTAAAAAGTGAAGACTTACTTCCACTCTTGAGCAGTCGCTTTTCTTCTTCCTTTAGCTTGTTCTGCATCAGACGGAGAGTATTTTCAGCTTCCTATGGAGCAGGAAAAACAAGATTCAGAAGAGATGATCCTTTTGGGGACTGTTTTATTATTCTTTACCTATTTGAGTAAGTACTGCTAAGTCTGTGATACAGAACCAGAAAAGATCTAAACCAAAGGAAGGGGAAGAGAACCAACACTGCCAGAGCAACTGTTACGGTGGGGAAACCTGACACCCTTTCTCTCTGTAATCACCCCAGCAGCCCTAGGAAAGGAGGCTCCCAGAAGTGACACAACTGGCTGAAAATAGGCCTGACTGGCCCCCCAAACTCATGCTCCTCGCACTGCCCCTCACTGCCTCTGAAGAAAACTGAATGACACAACGAAACGCCCATCAAGTGTGCCTACATGGGATGTTGACACAGGAACAGAGGCATCAACTATGGGACAGTATAGGCCTCTTGCTCTTCAAAGAATAAAGCATGAATTTTATCATTTTTCTGCCCTGCACAATTCCAGCCCTGAAAGATGTTAAACGGTGGGACTGATTAGGGTGGGAAAAGAAAGAAGGAAATACTAGTCAATTCCTAGACGACAAAAAAAACACTAATACTTCAGTTAGGTTGCAAAATGTGGCCCTGATTATTGTCAAATGAGAGAATGGGAGAGGAAATTGGTTTTTAAAATTTTGCTGTTGTTCTAAACATTAAAAAGAAAGCACTGCATTTCATGTATGAGATATTTTGAGGGAGCAGGTATCAGAAGCACAGAGAGTAAGTATGAGTGTAGGAGAAAAAGAGGGTAAGTACTTCTTGAAGGAAGGAACAACATGCATCCCAAGGCATGTTCTTTGGTACTTTCTCTGAACCCAGTAGTGGCCCAAGATGACAGTACAAAATGGTAAGTTTATTTTCACTGGCTCTTTACTGTTCTTCCCAGGAACGCAATGTTTAAAACGTCCTGAACTCCAAGCTCTTTTCATTGCCCTCAAAACATGCCTGTCCTGTACCCTATTCCTCCACGGCCTGCATCTGCCATCTAGCAATGGTGGCAACAGGTTCCTCATCAAGACAAATGTGCCCATACGAATGCATTAGTTACTCGTAGCCAGCCCTCCTGGACAAGAGAATAGCTTCACCTAATTCAAACGACCAGGTTTGTAAGAAGACTAGCGTAACCTTTATACCAAAAGCTGTCAAGGACAGTGTGAGAAAGGGAGATTGTAGACCAATTTCACCATGAACACAGATTGCAAATGACTAGTCTTGGTTTAAGTAGAAATATCCCTAGGGGACAAGGGCAATTCAAAAGTGCTAACAACTTAGTCCAACTTCCTTTGCTCTGAATTCCATATTTATCAACTCACGCTAGGATCTGAAATACTCTTTCCTAAATGGCCTTAAACATTGGGATGAGAGGAACTTGTAAAATAGCTAGTCAGGTTCTGGATCATATATATGTCCCACAATAATTAATTAACTGCAATTTCTCTTTATAAATCAGTCTCCAATAAGCTACTTTGGGTGATTCCATTTACCAGGGCTTGAAATCTTTAAGTGAACTGACCAAGTAAATTTTTAGATTGGTACTCAAGACGAGTTACATAATTTGTGGGACCCAGCACAAAATAAAATGCACTTAAAATCTATTAAGAATTTCAAGATGATGACAGCAGAGCATTAAAGCAAGCACAGGCTTTTCTAAGTTTGGAGTCTTACGCAACCATACAGGTCACGGGTCAGCCCTGTCTGTGTCCTAATTCACCAAACCCTGATGATAACCTAACATCAAAGATTTGACAATCCTGGAGTCCAGGCTACATGACCAGCAAAACAAAAGAATTACATAAGTAATCCTCAGACTGATCGGGGGGAAAAATATTCACTGATTTTTTTTTTTCACAATGATGTTTACAAACTGGGATGTCAGCAAGCACAAAATGACACACCAGAAGGGATGGTGTGTACAGAACGGACTAAGACTTACTTCAAACCTCTCTTGCTCCATCCTATGATGGTCTTCAAGTTGTTGTTCCAGATAAGCCAGATTTCGGAACTTCTCTAGATAAGCGTCATACTGCTTTTGCAGTTCTTCCTCAGTCTTCTCGTATTCATCCATAAAGGCTGGCCTAGAAGAACCAAATGAAATCAAAAGTGAAAGATTAATCAATATACAGTAGTTTGAAACTGGTATTCAGACTTCCAGATTCCATCATTGTTTTCTTTGGAAAGCCTTTTTTTTTTTTTTTAACGATTTTATTTTTTTCCTTTTTCTCCCCAAAGCCCTCTGGTACATAGTTGTATATTCTTCGTTGTGGGTCCTTCTAGTTGTGGCATGTGGGACGCTGCCTCAGCGTGGTTTGATGAGCAGTGCCATGTCCATGCCCAGGATTCGAACCAACAAAACACCGGGCAGCCTGCTGCGGAGCGTGCGAACTTAACCACTCGGCCACGGGGCCAGCCCCATGGAAAGCCTTTAATTGGAAAAAGTTCTCCATTCTCGTAAATGCTTAAAGCTAATTTCCCACTTTCTCTTCCCTACCACCAAAATAAACATACTTTTTTTTTCTGCTGAGGAAGAGTCACCCCGAGCTAACATCTGTTGCCAATCTTCCTCTTTGTGCCTGACAAAGATTTGCCCCTGAGCTAACACCTGTGCCAATCTTCCTCTATTTTGTATGTGGGTTGCTGCCACAGCATGGCCATTACCGAGTGTGTAGGTCCGTGCCTGGGAACCAAACCTGGGCTGCTGAAGTAGAGTACGCTAAACTTAACCACTAGGCCATGGGGCTGGCCCCAATACTTTTTTTTTTTTTTAATCAAAAAGTAAGATGTGGGGGCCGGCCCCATGGCCGAGTGGTTAGGTTTGCGCACTCCACAGCAGGCGACCCAGTGTTTCGTCAGTTCGAATCCTGGGCTCGGACATGGCACTGCTTATCCAGCCATGCTGAGGCAGTATCCCACATGCCACAATTAGAAGGACCCACAACTAAGAATATACAACTATGTACTGGGGGGCTTTGGGGAGAAAAAGGAAAAAATAAAATCTTAAAAAAAAAAAAAAAAGTAAGATGTGCTCTTTGTAAAAAACTTGAAATAATCCTGAAATTATGAAGAATAAAGTAAAAAGTACTCAGGATGACATCACCAGGTATAAGCACTTAATATTTGACATACATCCTTCCAGACTTTTCTATGCATAGATCCATATAAGAATGCATTTTTTAACACACATTAAGTATATTACCTTAAATGAAGCTCTGTAGTCTTTTTTTCTCACTCAATATGCCATAGATTTCAATAAAGAGTTAAAAAATAATCATAAACCATAGATGTTTCTCAAAATCACTAAGCTAAGTATAGGCATTATCTTAGTTGGGTTTAATAGCCTACTCTCTGGATGTACCAAATTTAATCAGTCCCCTAAAAAGGGAAACATAAGCTGCTACAAATTAAAGCTAAGTTTTTAAACGATATAAAATTTAAAAACAAAACCATAACCATAAAAATCTGTTTCAACTGGTTTGCTGAATTTATTTTTCTCTTATTATTGTCTTAAAGGGAAAATTCTGCTCTTTTAAAAATATAAACAGATACACTAAAAAATAATTTATAATGTTTTGGACTAGAACAAAGTGCAGAAATATTTCTATTAAAAGAATATGAGGCTTAACAAAAATGAATTTGTGCTTGAAAGGCAGAATTTTGTAATGAGACATCTATCTGGGGGCCTTGATTCCAGAGGTGGAAGAGATGTGGTCTTGCCCTTGGCTGGGAGGGAAGCCTTTGATGTTCCCTGGGTTACTGTCTGCTGTCCCCAGGTGCTGCCTTCCCCCAGACCAGGACAGTAGGTAGAGTGTGGGCCAGGCACCAGTATCTCAAAAGAACAAGACACGTTCAGAGCAGGCGCAGCAGCTGGACAGAGGAAGGAGTAAAGAGAGAAAAATAAAGAGAGAATGAAAACAGGCACAGAGTAGTGGCAAGGGAGAAAGAACAACAAAGAAACAGAGCAAGGGCAGGAGGGTACAGAGAGAGAGAGCAAGAGCAAAGAGAGAGCAAGCAAGCTCCAAGAAAACATGAGGCACACACTTGAAAGGCTCTAATGAAGTAGAAGGCATTCTGCGCCACTATTATCCATCCACGTTCCCTGGAAAAGGTATTTCACTGAGGAAAAGTGAGAAGAAAGATGACTTACTGGTGTGGAATTATAAAAGTCTAAAATCTACTCCAATCAAGAAATGGGAGTATGTTTCTGCTTCCACCTAATTTATGGCAAGGCACAGCTCTTAGGAGACCAAGCCTTGTGGAAGTTTCACCATCTGGATTTACTTACTTTGCCTTGCGTTCCAAGAAGCTATAAAAGCTTGAAGGAAGGTTCAAGAATTAAGCAGTTTTTCCAGACATAGTGAAAGCAGTAAAGAAAATGAGTTTAGCAGTGTGCTTGTTAGAACAAGCAAGACACGTACATTCTGAGGTAGAGATATCCTTATGCAAGGCTTTTTCCATGGCTTGAAGGGTTAGTATCACTGACAATATATTCTCTCAGTCTATTTTAACTTTCAAAGACAGCTTTCTACTCATTCTTCAGGTGTTCATATCTACCTGACACTCTGCAGTGTCTGGAGTCGCTTCCGATTTCTTTCCAGTTCTAATTTCCTCTTTTCAATTTTAGCTTCTAAATTAGCTTCGTCAGAGGCCACATTATTGAGCAGGTCTTTAGTCTTCTGAACCTGTGCCTACATGTAACAGGAAATGAAATGAATGAGACAAGGTGCCACTAAGGACCTCCAACCCAACTCTTGGAAGAAAAGAATTTCTCAACCCTTCAGGCACAGCAAATTCACGCTAAACAGAAACAAAAATAAGCAAACAGACCAGAGCCATCACTCATTTAATCAACTATTTCCAGGGGTACCGTCACAAAGGCTCAGAAAAAGTTATTACCCTTCTCTTGTTTTTCATGAGAAGAGGGCGTTTCTGCCCAGGAAAGCAAATGAAGATGGAAAGAACAATGTCCAGAGCAGAGGGGAGAGATGCCCAAGACCTCTTGTCCAGCTTGCTTGTTTAGACTGGTCACATGTCACTCTGAATTGTTAGCCTGCCTTTATTTACATCATTTAGGATACTTCCCTTGTTACAAATATCTGACTTATAGAACATATGCATACACAAGTATGGCTTTATTTAGTAGAGGACAAAAAGAAACATTAGCAGGTCCCAGCCCTAAGCCACTCCCCGCTGGGATTGAGACAGAAGGTTCCTCTCTTCCCTCTCCCTGGCAACTGAACCTCAACTACAGACTAAAATTAACAGAGAAACCACTCTATTTGTGAAGTCAGCAAGAAAGCGGCTCCCTCAGTGGCTCCAGGCGTGAACCAGACTTTGGGAGGGGGTTCCGGCAGCAGTGAGACAGAGGCCCTTGGGCAAGAGGGGGCTGAGTAAGAAAGTGAAGGAGGCGAGAAATCACTGACAAAACCGCAGGCCTCCCTATCCTTTTGTAAGAGCAGGTTCGTTTGAAGTAGGAGTAGTCAGACACTGTGTCTTCACACTCATGTTGTCTGGGAAGCTGGCCAGGTCAGGGCCTGTGGCTCAGAGCTGCAATCTGCCACATGAGGAATAACATCTAGAATGCAACCGAGTGTGGAACTGTCCCCCATCCCCCCAGCCAAGTTTGGACTCTCCAACTCTGCTTTAAGCTCCTGATGCCAAGATGGGGTTCTCCCCTCCAGTACTCTGCACATGTGTAGCACCCCACAAAGGTTTACTGACTGTTTACCAGGTCTCTGAAACACTATGGGGTCCACAAAGAAATCACTGAAGGAGCCCAGACACTCCCCATGACTCTCAGAGACAGCGTGTATTTGGAAGCAACTACTTTCATTGACAATGAATTTACGGTTTAATTTTTTCTGTCTAAGTACACTAACCATTTCCAAGATGCTTTCATGAAGTTAATCATATCACTAACCACCCATTTGCTGCAAGTGCTTTAAAAACCCCAGCAGAGGTGTGAGCTCACTCTAACAGGAAGAAAAGGTAGGTCTCCTTTCTGAACAAACAGCCCAAGTTGATGACAACTATTTCTCTGAATCAAAGCCAGATTGAAACCTAGTGAATTTATCTGACCACAAAAATAAAAACAATTTTTTAAAAAGTATCTGTTCCTCAAATAAAAAGGATCAATGTGATAAACACAAACAATCTTCCCTAGCTTTCTAAAATAAATGGCCTATATTTCATAATCCCTTTTAAGTATCCATGTTGTTTTTAGAATTATCAAATATCAGGCATATTTTCCAACAATGAAAAGATATCTTAAAAGATATTCACCAAAAAACAAACTGGGTCCTCATTTGGCTGTTCTTTTGTTTTTTTTTTTTTAAAGATTGGCACCTGGGCTAACAACTGTTGCCAATCTTTTTTTTTTTTTTCCTGCTTTATCTCCCCAAACTCCCCCCCGCCCCCCGTACACAGTTGTATATCTTAGTTGCAGGTCCTTCTAGTTGTGGGATGTGGGATGCCACCTCAACATAGCCTGACGAGCGGTGCCATGTCGGCGCCCAGGATCTGAACCCTGGGCCACCGCAGCAGAGCACGTGAACTTAACCACTCGGCCACGGAGCCGGCCCCTCTTTTTTTAATATATACAGAGTGCTAAAGGCATATTCATACCATGTTAACTTGATTCAGCCAGAATATTGACAAGTACAATCATTCAAAAACTTTTTTTAATTTAGAAACAATCACAAACTCACAAACAGCAGAAGTATATACAAAGCAGTTTTTCTGGACCTCGATGAGAGTGAGTTGCTAACCTGATGTCCCGTCACCTCTAAGTACTTTGGTGTGTATTTCCTACGAATAAGGACTTTCTCCTACACAACCACAACACAATCATCACAGCAGGAAGGGACACTGATGCACTAGCACCATCTAATCCTCACACTCATTCAGGTTTCCCCACTTGTCCCTGGGAAGTCCTTCACAGCAGACAGGAGTCACCCTGGTGTTCAAGTGTCATAGCTCCTCAGCCTTTCCTGGACTTGCATGACCTTTTCACTGTTGAAGAGTACAGGCCATGGGACCAGCCCAGTGGTGCAGCAGTTAAGTTCGCACGTTCTGCTTCTCAGCAGCCCGGGGTTTGCCGGTTCGGATGCCGGGTGCGGGGAGGGCACCGCTTGGCACCCATGCTGTGGTAGGCATCCCACATATAAAGTAGAGGAAGATGGACATGGATGTTAGCTCAGGGCCAGTCTTCCTCAGCAAAAAGAGAGGAGGATTGGCAGCAGATGTTAGCTCAGGGCTAATCTTCCTCAAAAAAAAAAGAGTACAGGCCAGGTCATTTATAGAATGCCCCTCAATTTGCCTTTAGCTCATTAGCTGTAGGTTATGCACCTTAGCAGCAACAGCACAGACATGACTGCATCCCATCAGGTGTGCATGATTTTGATTTATTCCATTACTGATGATGTTCACTTTGATCACCTGATTAAGGGGGTGTCTGCCAGGCTTCTCATGTTAAGTTATTCTTTTCTTATTTGTAATGAATAAGCATCCTGTGCAAGAGCTACTTGGAAAATAAATATTCTGTGGGGGAGCTAGAGCCTGTGAAAAATCTGTTGTTCATCAGCTTTCAATATTATCATTTGTTTTTTATATCAGTGATAACTCATGGTCTCCCATTTCATTCAAGGGTCTATAATCCATTGCCATAATTTATTTATTTTGATGCTTAAACTGTCCCTGGTTTGGCCAGGGGAAGCCCACTCAAGTTGGCTTCTGTGCCCTTTGACAGATCCCTTTCATTCTTTGAGTACTGCCTTGCTTTCTGGCACAAGAAGATCTTGTACTTTCCTGTGCCAGCTCTGGAATCAGCCATTTCTCCACAAGAACCGAGGATCATTTTAGTGGAGAATGACATTTAGAAGCCAAGATCTGGGTGCTAGGTGTGCTCAGAGCTAAGAAATGTATGGATGTGTATGTGGGTGTGCATGTGTGGGTGCCTGTGCATAAATATGACATATTTATGTACACAGACATACATACACTACATGTACATAAACACATATCATAATTCATTCCTCATCCATCTGTCTATCTATCTGTCTATCTAGAAAACCATGCATTTAACCAACACTTCCAAATTCAGGGTTCATTCTGATTTTCTCCCTTTATATATTTGTACCTCCCTTCTCCAACAGTGAGAAACTTGGCTTCCGTTATTTTTAATATATCTACGTATTTAATCAATCTGCCTGTATGTAACTAATCTCCCACCTCGGCTGCCTTGCCCTTCTCACTGGGTGAGGCTCTGGCTCCCTGTGCTCAGTTGCCCAGAGAGTATTACCATTTTATGACAAGGGTATTATAAAAACCTATCAATCTTAGAATTTTAAAGATTTTATTTTTTCTTCTTCTCCCCAAAGCCCCCTGGTACATAGTTGTATATATTTTTAGTTGTGGGTCCTTCTAGTTGTGGCCTGTGGAATGCCACCTCAGCATGGCTTGATGAGCGGTGCTAGGTCTGTGCCCAGGATCTGAACCAGAGAAATCCTGGGCTGCTGGAGCAGGGTGCACGAACTTAACCACTCGGCCACGGGGCTGGCCCTCAATCTTAGAATTTTACATAACTCTCAGCAAATTCTTGTTTTATGCCTATTCCTAATTTACACAAGGCATCCCTGCCTGTGTTTACTGAACAAAATGAATCACTAATAATAAATGAATACCTGTTATGTGCCAGAGACTATGTATGACATGTACGGTCATAGTGAATGCTCATAAGGAGCCTATGAGGTGGGCATGCCATTCTCTCCATTTTACAGATGAGGAAAGTGAAGAACAGAGAGGTTAAGTAATTTGCCTAAGATCACACAGTGGGATTCAAACCCAAGCAGTCTAAGTCTAGAGTCCCCCTCACTATCTGCCTTCTAAACGAATGCTTTAGATGAGATGAGCAAATAACTGGTCGTGGGTGAGTAGTAAAGGACGATGATCATGCTATTTATATAGCACTGTTTAAAATTAAGAAAACCTGAAAATCACTTAAATGCCCAGCAGTGAGGAATTGGTTAAATAGTGTGAAGAGTTCATAAAACAGAGCATTATTTACCAAAATTTTTGAAAAATTTAAGAGAATTATTAAAATTGATAAATTTTTAATAATATGAGAAATTGTTCTTATTTATAACAAAGAGAAAAACAATAGTAGTGAGTAACCTAGGTATTCTAGAATGTCCCCTCAATTTTTCATTTCCCCACTTACATATGCCTTCTCTGTTACTAGGCTTAGCTTGCTCTGTCCTATGGAGGCATGAAATCAATAGTTCTGAGTCCCAGGCACAAAAATATTAAATGAAAGCAAAGTAACCTTACCAAAATATCTTTTATTGCAATTCTCATCACTTTTTCAGTCTCATTTATTTCCAGAGGTCTGGCAATTGCTTCTGTTCTCAGTTCCTATAAGAGACAATGAAACAAAATTACAAATGTTTTCAAAAGTGGAATTCTCAGAACCAATACTCAGATCTAAATATGGCTTATGGATTGGTTCTCAAAAGTTTCATTACAACGTGGATCTCTGATGCAAAATACTTCTGCCATCACCTCCTCCAAATGTCCTCCGTAATCTCACTGCCAACCTGGCCTCTCTCCAGTGAAAAACAGTGCCCTGTTTTTCAGCTACAGGCCCCATGTCCCCCTAATGCTACTGAATTGAATTTGCCATCTATCAAAATTGAATTTACCATCTATCATCTTTTCTCCCAAATTTGCTTCTTTAAATGCATTCTGTTCATGTGACCCCCAAACCAAGTGCAGCTCAACATGCTGTCTGAAGCCCCCTGCCAGCCTCTCCAATCTTTCTTGTGACTAAGTCTAAGCTGCCCATCATTGACAGCTGCAACCTATGAGAAGTCACCTTGGCCCTGCCCCTAGCATTAACCATCAACCAATCAAGGAGGCATGTGTGCCTATCATATCAATAGTGGAAACATCTGAGACATGGGATTTTAACGTGGATGCAGTTATGAGGTTCCTGGAGCACTTTAGCAAACTCTGCCTTGTGCTTCCTTTATTCCATGGTACACCTTATCTCCCCCACTGGTGGAAAACTATCGAGGGCAGGGACTATGACTTACTCAAGGACACAGAGCACAGTGCCTTCCCTGTGATTGGTGTTGGTCCTTAATGAATGTTTGTTAAGTGTATGAAAAAAAAATACTGGATAGGGGCTCTTCCTCAGATAAAGACTGTACACAGAATTTGAGTACTATATTCATGGTCTCATGGCTTCCATGGCAACAGTTCAGCCATTAACTGTTTCATCAAGTCATTACAGGACAGTGCTAAGAAAGGCCCCAGTGGAATCCTGGTGAAGTCTCACAATGAAGCCACAGCTCCACCAGCAGTAGCAAGTGACTAGCTCTTGTCTCTGGGTCTGTTAGGAACATGTGTAAACATGTGCACTACTGCAGTATAAACGGAAAACATGGAAAGCCTGGAGCTACCTGCTTATTTATCTAAATTAGCTATTAGACATTACTGGCAGTTTTGTTCTGCCAACTACCAGGTGGCAACCAGCAGTTCAGTATAGCAAGAGCAGAGATAATGACCTGGCACCCAAGTCCCCCACTTCCAGTTTACTCGTAAGGCAGAAATGAAAAGTGAGAGGAAAAAAACCATGACACTAGCAGCAATGCCAGAACATGGGCAAGGCAGTAACAGAGTGGTTATGGCTGACATACTTGATGGGAATGCAATGAATTAGATGCATTTAATCTAAAAACATTAGATGTGAGCATGTATGCTTCAAATGCCATAAATCCTTACAGGTAAGAATTAAACAATACTCCGTTTCTTCTTCTTTTTTTTAAAGATTGGCACCTCAGCTAACAACTGTTGACAATCTTCTTTTTTTTTCCCTTCTTCTCCCCAAAACTCCCCAGTACATAGTTATATATTCTAGTTGCAGGCCCTTCTGGTTGTGCTATGTGGGATGCCACCTCAGCATGGCTTGACGAGCAGTGCCATGTCTGCGCCTGGCATCCGAACCGGCGAAACCCTGGGCTGCGGAAGCAGAGCGCACAAACTCAACCACTCGGCCATGGCGCCAGCCCCCCATTTCTTCTTAAACCAGTGGGTCCCAAGCTCTGCTGCACATTGGAATCACCTGGAGATCTTTAAAAACCAGGTGGCTGGCTCTCACCCCCAGACATTCTGATTCACTGGAACTGGGGACAGCCTAGACATCAGGTGAGACTTAAAAGCTCTACAGAAGTTCTCTGGCAGTTTGAGGAACCACACTCTTCAACAGCTCCTGGAACACAGCGGATGGAGTGAGCTCCTTGACTGGTACTGGCCAGCAGAAGGACTGCAAATAAATTTCAAATGTAACATCAACTTCAACTGATTGTGACTGCCTAGATTATTGGTTCCCAAACTCCACTATATGTTAGACTCACCTGGGAGACTTTTAAAACTCAGAATGCCCAGGTCACATTCCATACCAATGACATCAGAATGGAAACCAGGCATCAGCAGTTTTTAAAGATCCCAAGTGATTTCACTGGGCAGCTGAGGCCAAATTCACTGGGAAAAAGCATCATGATCAACAAAGTCTCCCTAAGGCACAAGTTGGAAAGTTTCAGCAACATGCCACATATTTGCCATTCCTGAACTAGAAGCCAAAGTATTAAAAACAGACCAGTGCCCACCAAAAGCAGGAACAGCAGCTGACACTGTGGATGATTTTCCCACATGTTATTTCTTTAATCAGGTGCAGTTTAATAAAATCAGAACAAGGAAAAAACAGAATTAGAAAAGAAAACCTTGAAAATCTGCTTAGCTGAGTAAGTAATTAAGTTATCTGAACACTGCTTACCCTCAACTCTACCTCCTTGCCCAGCAAATCATACAGAGATGCTCCTTTAGAGGTGATTTCAGAAGCAAGCTGCCTAGCTGCTTTCAAATCTGCAATCTGGAAGGAAAATATCAAAAACAGAAAGCTCAGTGAACAGTTTTTAATCGGCATTCAGAAACAACCAGTCTGTTAACATCAATTCCCACCTCTGGTTGGGATGCCTGACTACAGAACACATTTTCCTGAAGACACATATTGACATCCTATGGAAGAGAACTGCCAGGACATCAGTTTAGGAAACACTGACCTAAGTACAAAGTAGACCAATTCCAGGATACCTGGGTGTCTCTGAAAACCCAAATATCAAGTCAAATGTAATCTGCAACCAGGAGGGGTAGGAGGGTGAAAGCTGATGTGCTTGCTATTTGGACTAGGTCACAACAGGGGACCCTGACAGTAGCGGGGTGACCACAGGAGGGGCACCCTGAAGGACACATTTCCTACTGCAGAATCCTGATGGCCTATGTTTAACCCTCCCCGCCCCTCATTCTCTGCCTTTAGACTGCACTTCGCAGGCCTGCTGTGAGGCTCCAGTGAGTTGGCCTGCCTGAGGGCCTTACAGCAGTACTGGCTCCCACAAGGGTGGCAGCTATTGCTATGAAGAGGAGGATGAGGATTTAACATCTAGCCCCATGCACAAGCTCCTTTCTCAGGATTTGCATGTCATACCTTCTTCCTTGAAGATGCTAAATTTTCCGAAGAGCCCAAACAAACATTTCCCTGCTCTGCTCACTCTCCCTTCTCCCGAAACAACTAATTCTCTCTCTCCTTTACTTTCAAACCACCAGCAACAATTCTTCCTCTTCATTCACAGCTGATGACTTTATTTCCATTTCCTTAGTCCTCCAGGATTCCACTCCCACTAGCTCTAGCTTCTCCTACCTTACTAGCAGTAAATTTCCAGTTTTCTTTGCAGCAGTCTCATCATCTTGCCCACTTCTCAGCACTGGCGTGTACGAGGGTTCAGTTCCCTGACCTCTTTTCTTTTCACACACCCTCCTAAGCTTGGAGCTTTAATACCATCTATGAACTGAGGCTCAATATCTCCACTCAGACAGCTCATGGACATCACAAATTAAACATGCTCCAAACTAAACTTCTAAAATCTTTCCTGCCAAACCTGCTCCTTCGAAACTCTTTTCCATTTCAGTAAATGGCAACTTCACCCTTGTAGGTACACAGACCAAAACCTTTAGAGCTATGATCTCTGATACAGTATCCACTAGCCACATGTGGCCACTTTCAATGTTAAATTATTTAAAATTAAATAAAATTTAAAACTCAGTTCTCCTTGTGCTAGCCACACGTGGCTGGTGGTTACTGTACAGTGTGGCATAGATACAGAACACGTCCATCATCACAGAAAGTTCTGCTAGACAGCACTGCTTTAAGATCTTCCTGGTATTACCTGTTTTCTCTCAACCCACATCCAATCCCATAAGATCTACCTTTATAATATGTTCTAACCTCTGGCCACTTCCTTCCACTGAGGAATCTGGCTCCTGGTTAAAACCTATGTGTAATTTTTCAGGCCTGACCACAGGCCATTACAAAGGCTTCACCTGGCAGGCCTTGCGGGGGAAGCTGCTCCCACCTGCACACCAGACTTGGGGCACACCAGCGCACCGCAGTCTCTGAAGGGAGTTGCAGTCAAGGCCTCAGTTGCACTCCAGATCTCTGGTTGGTCATGTTCTCATAAATATCTGCATTCTTAGCCCCAGGACTTCCATTCCTAGATCTCTATCATCTGAGGCCTTGGGCCAGGGTCCTCTTCACACCTCTGCTGAGGCCTCCTTGGGGGTGGGGGGTGCACAACACACAGGGATGGGGACTTGAGGACAATTTGCCTCACTGACTCAGTACCCACTACTTTTCCACTCCTAGGCCTCCCCCTACATCTGTGTGCATAAAACTGCTGGAGCCTTTCATTCAGGGTTCCCTCAACAGTGAGACAATGCCTACAACCGGACCTTTGACAGGTGGGCCATTCCACAGGGCATGAAACAGGGGAGTCAGTGCTCCCTCTGGTTTTAGCTTCTTGCTTATACCATCACAGTAAGCGGTTAAAGACTTAGCTTTCTTTTTTGGCTTATTGTTTTAATCAAGTTCTCTGACATCAGGCAGCCCTCAGCTCCCTCTCCCCTAGCTTGGCTGAGCTCCTGATATCTACCTCTCCCACAACCACTCTGCTCAAAGTCACCATCATCTCTTGCTTTCTAACAGGTCTCTCTGCTTCCACCCTTGCCTCCCACTTAAGTCTGATCTCAACCCAGCAGCCAGAGGGATCCTTTCAACATTAAGTTTCAAATCATGTACTTCTCTGTTCAAAACTCAATGATTTTCCACCTCAGAGTAAACATCAAAGTCTTAAACGTGGCTTTCCAGGCACTACGGGGTCTGTCATGGCCTTTCCTCCTGGTTCTTGTCACATGGCCTCCTTGCAATTCCTCAAACACACAAAGCACACTTTCATCAGAAGACACTTTTTCCCCTCCACTGCATGGTTCCCCCTTCCCTCCTTCAGATCTCTGCTGAAAACCTCATCCAGCCCTTGAGGCTGTCCTACCTCCCTATTTAAGATACCTCTCCCAGCCCCTTCCCTGCCTTACTGTTCTCCACACATTTATCACATCTGACCTGCCATTCCTTCTGCTTTGTGGTCCCAGCTGAGCAGCAGGAACAGAGGATTTCTGTCCTTGTTGTTCATGCCTATATCCCCAGTGCCTGAACAGTGCCTGGAAGATAGCCAGCACTCTACCATGTTCCATTTTAGGGTTTGAGAAATAAATATTCGGTCCCTTACTACAAGCCTTTCGTTGTCCTTACCTTTGAGCCAAGATCGAACTTGAATTTGCTGATATCTTCCTCTCCTATTTTAGAGCCCTCCATCCCTTGAGTCTTCATAGCATTATAAAGGACAGAGGTGATCTTCAACAGTTCCTTCACCGCATACCCATCTGCTTGATAAAGCTTCTTAGTGTTGAGTTTTATATGTGCCTTGGTGGCCTATTTTCAGACAAAAAAAAAGTTTAAGGGCCTTTCTGTATAAAATCTAACCATAGATTTTTTTTCCATATAAAATGTAAAATGTAGGTAATTTGAAAATGTCTCTACCAACAATTAGGATATAACCTGATCATACTAAGAGTCACACTTTCAAGTGACTCAGATTGTGAGTGGGTGTGTAAACTGATACAATCTTGATGGAGAGCAATTTGGTAAACAACAACAAAATTACAAATGATCTTTTGACCTAGAAATTCCAATCCTAAGAACTTATCCTAGGGATATTCTCACCAACAAAACAATATCTCTATGTTATTCGTTACAGCAAAGTTTCAAAGAGCAAAAGTTACAAACAACCTAAATGCTTATCTATATAAATTACGTAAATTAAGGTATATCCATGCATGCAATACTACTCAAGTGTATGAAAGAATGAGGACACTCTGTACGCATTTGGAAAGTTCTCCAAAATGTACTGTTAAGTGAAGAAAGCAAGATTCTAAACAGGTGTATAGGATGTCACCATCTGTGTAAAAGGAAGGAGAAAAAGCATATTTTACTTGTTTATATATGCATAAAGAAACTCGGGAAGATATTAAAAATAGTGATTACTGGAAATGGAACTGGGCCAATGACATACAGGACAGAAAATTATTTTACTCCATGTCGTTTCATGATTTAAAAAAAATTTCTGAACCATGAAATATATTACCTATTCAAAAATAAATAAATAAAATTCTTAACAAATAACTAATTAAAAACAAAAAAATTTGTTGGTGAAATGGCTTCACAGAAACCTGGTAATGGAATAGTTTAGAAACTTGAAAGTAGCCCTAACTAGGACTCATCTTTTTCTAATGTATTTAATTTTACAATTCCATCAAATAACCATGAACTAACCATGAACTGGGCAATTGCCTTAATGAAGAAAACTCGATCTTGTTCAGTCTCAACATCAGAAGGGATGTCAGTCTGAGGTTCATACCTATCAGAGAGAGAGAGAGAGAGAAGACACAATTAAGCAGGAAGACCACGAAGAAGAAAGTGGACAACTGAGAGGAAGTGGATCTGTAACAGGAAGCTGAGTCCCCAGCTAACCTAGTAAGGTTAAGAAAGACTTCAAAAGCAACACAAAATTCCAAACACCTGAGAGAGCAAATCCTCACCTAAGAATAAGTTTAACTGATTTCAAAAATCAAGGGGCTTGCCCCATGGTGCAGTGGTTAAATTCAGCACACTCCACTTCAGCAGCCCCAGTTTGAGGGTTTGGATTCTGGCATGGACCTATGCCACTCATCAGCCATTCTGTGGCAATGACCCACATACAAAGTAGAAGAAGAGTGGCACAGATGTTAGCTCAGAGCTAATCTTCCACAGCAAAAAAAATAAAATAAAAATAAAAAGTGGGTGCTCAGCTTACAAAATTAAGTCTATCTCAGACCTCAAAGTTGAATTAAAATAATCAGCACTATTACTCTGGCTGACAGCCCTTGACCCAGGGCTAACTAGTTAGCTTAGAGAAGCAGCAGAGTTGTTGGAATTACTTTCTTCAAGCTACTGATGATCCACCAGGGGTCAGCAGACTGCAGCCCTTGGCCTCTTTCTGTACAGCCTGCAAGCTAAGGTTGTTCACCTTTTTAAAGGGTTTAAAAAACACAAGGTAGGCCCGGCCCCGTGGTGCAGCAGTTAAGTTCGCACGTTCTGCTTCTCAGCGGCCAGGGGTTTGCCGGTTTGGATCCCGGGTGCAGACATGGCACCGCTTGGCAAAAAGCCATGGTGTGGTAGGCGTCCCACATATAAAGTAGAGGAAGACGGGCATGGATGTTAGCTCAGGGCCAGTCTTCCTCAGCAAAAAGAGGACTGGCAGTAGTTAGCTCAGGGCTAGTCTTCCTCAAAACAAACAAAAAAACAAAAACACAAGGTAGAATATACAACAGAGATCTTAGGTAACCTTGAATGCCTAAAATATTTACTTATTTCCTTAACAAAAAGGTTTGCGAACCCTGAATCATATTAGATTTTTCACATAAAATGAAATCTAAATTATTTCTAATCCAGTGTACTCATTGGAGTGTGTAGGGAGGTCCCTGTAACTCCTTGATGAAGGCAAGGGGGTGAAGAGGAGCTTGGACCAGTGCCCCAGTGTCCACTTCCTACTGAGAAATAGTCTCCTTTTACCACTGCCTGGTATGTTCCCTTCTCCCACAGCGTTCTTTAAACCCGACTGATTTTTAACAGGTTACAACTGAGTCTGTCAAACTCAAATTTTATCGAACAATTCCTTTTGCTTCACAACAGTATTCTGTTTCTTGGTGGCTAATGAATAAAATCCAGCATTCATTCTTAGATCTCAATAAAGTGCAGCTCTAACCTTTTCACAAGCCAGAGAAGCACTTCAGATACAAGTCCAAAATTTGGTGTGCGGAAATTTTCCATGGAAATATGTCGAGGGTATCCCAAGGCTCTCATCATCTCTGTAAAGTCTGTCCAATGGAAAATGCAATCCAGTCAGTTCCTTGGCAAACGGCAATGACTTATTAACTTACATACTTTCTTTGCTTCCCCTTCTTATTCTCAACCTATTCCCAACAGTTTTAGGGACTATTTATCAACTCTCTAAGAGGAAAGAAAAAAGGAGATAAAAGTTAAAACACCTAATCTGCTTCCTGAAAAACAGTTCAGTTTAATAGGAGAAGAAGTGGAAGTTGTACGTTAAAATAAGGCTTAGGGATTGGCTGTGAATTTAATTTCTTTGATATCTCATTTCTCTCGAATATCTTCTACTAACTATTCAAAAGAAGAAACATCTGGCCTTATAAAATGTCATAAAGAAAAACATTTTTAAATAACTGTTATTTCTGGGGGTGACGGTGGTAGAGTGAAGTTCATGTTTATGAGTTTTTTCTGAGTTTTTTTAAATGAGCATACAGGATCTTATAATACAAATTTTAAAGATTAGTTGCATTGTATTTAGAGAAATCTTCACGAGTATGATTGGCCTATAGAGCAATATTTACATTTATTACAAAACAGGTTAAGAAACAGTAACACTAGTATTTGTTGATAACGGAGGTTGCAGTCACTAAACTTTAAGCAGGTCCTGGAAATGAACACAACAAACATGTTCTGAGTTTCCACGTTGTGCCAAGATCTATATTCAGTGTGCTTCTGACTACATAACGTCTGTCCTCACTCTTCTCGAAGGTGGATATTCAAAATGTCCCAGTGAGATTTGCAAATAAATTTCCTGGGCACTGGAGATTAGGCTGTTTCACTATATAATTGAAGAGAAAGTATGAGCAGAGGAAAGAGCAACGGCACAGAGGCCTCTGTCACTGTTTTTGGGAAATTTGAATAGAGGGAGGGAGAATAAAGCAGCAGCCTTCCCATCAGTCAAGCAAGGCCTAAATACTTCTTCTTGCTAAGTAGTAGTCAAGTTCTGTTAATTCTGCAGTACTAGTATCAAAGTGGAGACAATTTGAGATTCTTCCTATAAATTGCACAGTTGTACGGAACGCATTTAAGGTCAAAATGTTCAGAAATCCCCTTTTTGTGCATTCTTCCCAACACAGCTCCATTCAACGTCCCTTAGCAGAGTGCTGGCCTCTCTAAACTACAAGAGAGGAGAAACTTGTCACTACAACATACAGTCACTAAGAACCTTCAAATTCCAGAGGGCATAATTCACACTACGGTGCTACAGTTGCATAAGAAAATATGATGCCTTTATGCCTCTTCCTGTATATACATGGTATAAAAAGAGCAATTCATAACTGAAAGGAATAATCTTTAATGGTGACATTTCAGGCACCAGCAATTCAGTTAGAAAATTGGCGGGGCCGGCCCGGTGGCGCAGCAGTTAAGTTCACACGTTCTGCTTCTCGGTGGCCTGGGGTTCGCTGATCCCGGGTGCGGACATGGCACCGCTTGGCATGCCATGCTGTGGTAGGCGTCCCACATATAAAGTAGAGGAAGATGGACACGGATGTTAGCTCAGGGCCAGGCTTCCTCAGCAAAAAAGAGGAGGACTGGCAGTAGTTAGCTCAGGGCTCGTCTTCCTCAAAAAAAAAAAAAAAAGTTCTCAGGGGCTGGCCCCATGGCCAAGTGGTTAAGTTTGCGCACTCCACTGCAGGCGGCCCAGTGTTTCGTTGGTTCAAATCCTGGGTGTGGACATGGCACTGCCCATCAAACCACGCTGAGGCAACGTCCCACATGCCACAACTAGAAGGACCCACAACAAAGAATATACAACTATGTACCGGGGGGGCTTTGGGGAGAAAAAGGAAAAAAATAAAATGTTTAAAAAAAAGAAAAGAAAAGAAAATTGGCCTTATTTAGGCCCCTTAGATCACACCAACTTGGCAATCACCTACTACACCTATGCAGGTGGAGCCAGTGAACTGAACTGCTTCACATCCAGAAAATGATAGTGTATAAAAGGCAAGAGATTTTTGATTCACAAAGTCCTATGTTTTGATCCTTGGTTCCACCTAGTTCTAGCCGTGTGACCTAAAGCAAGCTACTCTACCTCTCCGTGACCCGAAGTATTCCATCCAGGAATTATACCACCTAATTTACTGTTACAGCGAGGACTAAGATAAGATACTGAATGTAAAATGGCTGGTGTGTAACATGTGACCCCACGTACTAGTAAGTAATTCTCTTATCCCCATTCTTCCACTTCCCACCCTCCTATCAAAGGCCTCCAGGTTCCCTTCTCACCAGCCCCTTTGGAAAGAACGCAGCCTTCGGAGGTTAGATGACTTGAACTCAAACTCCAGCGCCAGCTCCTACCACCTGTGTCCCTGGACCCGCACCTGTGTCACTGACCTCTCCGTGCCCGTTTCCTCGTCTCTAAACACAGGCGCACAGAGTTGTTGAGAGGAGTAAAGGAAACGATGCACACACACAACAGTAACTACTTGGCAGATCGCATAAGCTCAAACAATGCTAGCCGCAATTACTATGATTCACCAGCCGCTCCTCGGTTTTGTTGTTCGCTTCCCTGAGCTCTAAGCTAACCCAACTCAAATACGGCCTCTACGTTTCTCAATAAGGTCGCCACAGCCCCACGTGGCTATATAAACCTATTAAAATCAGATAAAACGATAACTTGGGTTGCTCAGCCGCCCCAGCCATATGTGGCCGGTGGCAGATACAGAACTTCCCACCGTCACAAACAGGGCGACGAGGCCCGGCGGGGCGCTCAGCCCGGGGACGGCCGCGGGCCGGGGGTGCCCCGGAGGCGCAGAGGCCGGAGAGGGGACTCTTGCGGCGCGCGCCTAGGCGGAGGCACGGACAGGGGACCCGGCGGCCCGGAGCCCCGAGTCTCGGGAGGACCGTAGGTCACAGGGAACAGGGCTGCCTTACTGCGGAGGTCGCGGAAAGACATTTTGCTCGGGTCCCCAGCAGCGCCGACTCTTCAAGGCTCGCCCCTCAGCACTCACGGGTTTCTATGGCAACGCACCGAGCCCTGGACGGCGTGCTGCGGGGGCCAAACAGGATGAGGTGCGAAACGACAGGGCTGCGTACGCATGCGTACAAGAAGGACGGCAGGCAGGGGGCGTCCCGGGGATCCGAGGGAGCCGGCGTGAGGTCCCGGTGCCTGCCACGAGCTGCGAGCCGTGCGGCGTGGGGGCCCGTTTCACACACTTTGCAGACAGACCTTTGGCGCCGGCTGACACGTTCTGAGTGCCTACTATGTGCCAGACACTGTGCTAGGCGCTCTACATACTGCTTCTCATTTCCTCCTCCACTCTAGAAAGAATGTACGATAATGTCACGAAGCCGGTCTCCCTCCTGGGCGCGGTGCCCAGCACGCTTCTCCCTGGCATGTGTAAACTGGCCGCGCCCGCGTCAGAAGCGTCCGCGGCGTGAAGGCCCGAGGCCCCTGGCTGCGGAGAGGAGGCCCTAGCCGTCCGTGAGGCGGCGGGACGCAGCGCGGCCAGGCCCCGGGCAAGCGGTGCCCGCTCAGGCTTCACGACAGGCCGGAAATCGGCCCGGGCCCGCGGGCCCCGGTGGTTGTCCTGGCAACCGTGGCCTCTTCCGGCCGGCAAGTGTTCGTTCTCCTAGTTGAGGGAGCGGGTGGTATCGCGGCCAGGACCGCGGCCGATATGTGACCAGGTCAGCTGGAGGCTCACCTGGGAGCCCGCCCTACTAGGCTGCCATGGTGGGGGACAGGCGACAAAGAAGGGCTGGGGACGTGAAGTGAGCTGAGCCGGGAAGGCTGAGCGAAGAGGAGGGACTGCTAACCGGTGGGACGCCCTCCGCGCCTGCATTCGTGTTGGCGAAGTAACGGACACGTAAATGCACGGACCTTAAAGCGAGTCCCAAAATAGGTCCACACATACATGGTTAGTACCGCAAAGGCGACGAAGCGCTTCATGGAGGGAAAAATAGTCTTTCAACGAATGGTCTTGGAACAATTGGAAATCCATATGCAAATCAATGAACTACCACCCTTACTTAACTGTAAAACCTAAAAACGATAACTTTTCTAGAAGAAAACTTAGGGGAAAAGCTTTGTGACTGAGTTAAGCAAAATTCTTAGAGATACCAAAAGCGTGATCCTTAAAAAAATGTTTTTCAAGGAATTGGACTTCAGCAAAATTTAAAATTGCTCTTCAAGACACTTGTAAGAAAATGAAAAGATAATCCACAGTCTAGAAGAAAATATTCACAAAACACATCTGATAACTTGTATCCAGAATACATAAGGAACTCCCAAAACTCAATAATAAGAAAACATTGCAGTTAGAAAGTAGACTAATTTCAACAGAATCTTCACAAAAGAAGATATATGGGAAATAAGCAAATGAAAAGGTGCTCAAGATTATTAGTCATTAGGGAAACATATATTAAACTACAATGAGATATCACTAGGCAGTTATTAGAATGGTACAAACAACAAAACCCCTGACCGTGCCAAGGGCTTAGAAGGCTGTGGAGCAACTTGAACTCTCATACATTATTGGTGAGAATGTAAGAGTACGGCTGCTTTAGAAAACAGTTGGTAGTTTCTTATAAACACAGTTAACATATGGCTCAAAAATCCCACTCTTAAGTATTTGCCCAAGAGAAACAGAAACTTATGTTCACACAAAAACCTGTACACAAATGTTTTTGTTTTTTTTTTTGAGAAAGACTAGCCCTGAGCTAACATCCATGCCCATCTTCCTCTACTTTATGTGTGGGACGCCTACCACAGCATGGCCTTCTGAGCAGTGCCCTGTCCGCACCCGGGATCCAAACCGGCCAACCCCGGGCTGCGGAAGCAGAACGTCTGCACTTATCTGCTGTGCCACCAGGCCGGCCCTATACATGAATGTTGATAGCAGCTTTATTCATAATCGTCCCAAACTGGAAACCACTCAACTGGTCCTCAACTTATGAATGAATAAACAAAGTGTGGTACATCCATAATATGGATTACAATAAAAAAAGAAACAAACTCCTGATATACACAAGGGCAACAAGAATCTCCAGCGCCTTATGCTAAGTGGAAGAAGCCAGCCTCAAAAGGCTACATACTGTATGACTCCATTTATATGACAATCTGGATAAGACAAAAATATGGAGACAGAAAACAAATCAGTGGTTGCCAGGAGGAGCTGGGTGCAAAAGAATTTTGGGGGTGGCGGAACTGCCCCATATCTTGATTGTAGTGGCAATAACATGACAGTAGGTATTCGTCAAAACTCATAGAACTGTGCCCTAAAAAGGGTGAATTTTACCATATCTAAACTTGTATCTCAATAAACATGACTAAAAACAAAAAAAGCCTTCAAAAAAACCTACCCAATGGCTTTCCATTGCAGTTCGAATAAAACTCAAACTCCTTAGCTGCACCTCCTCTGTTCTCCTCACTCCCTTCCCTCCTTCTATCCTGGCCTTCTTTCCCTTAAACATGCCCATCATCCTCCTGCCTTCAGGTCTTTGCACATGCAGTTCCCTCCGCCTGGAACGCTCTCCCAACTTCAGATCTTTGTGAAGAGGCCACTTGGACCACCTACACCAAAGCAGAGCCTTCCCAGCCCTTCCCTGTCACAAAGCAGAGCCTTCCCATCCCTTCCCTGTTTTATTTCCTTCCCAGTATGATCTGGAAACGTCTCGTTTGCTTATCTTCTGCCTCTCTGGTCTGGACATGAAAGCAGACACCTGTTTTGTCCTACTCTGGACTCTCCCCAAGTCTACAATAGTATTTGGTGATACGCAGGCTCTCAGAATGTATTTGTTAAATACCTGACTGATTGAATGAATGAATGAATGAGTGAGTGACTGAGAGTACATCACCTTACTCCAGTGAAGTGAATGGTCTTTGAGGAAGGGCCCTGTCATCTGTTTCTTGTCCCCCGCCCTCCCTCCATGCTCTGTGCTGGTTGGGATACCCAGGTCTGGGCTGGCTCTGGGCCAGGTACTTGTGGCTCCTGACTCGTGCTCACGATAGGCCACTGGAAGCCCACCAGTTCTGCTTTAAGTTAGGGCAAACTGGTGTGCACACGCTCCCGGTGCTGTTCCTAAAGCAAAGCAATCAGCTGTGTGACCTTGGGCAAGTTACTTAACCTCTTGGCGACACAGATCCTTCAATGTTAAAATGGAGGTAATAATGCCTGATAGGGTTACTTCGAGGATTAAATGAGATGTGGTAGGCGTTTTAGGGGCAGACTGCACTCAGTCTCCACTATAGTTGGCAGAGCATAGAGGGAATACTGAGAAGGGAGCCAAAGCTTCCTCCCTTGGTTTTTCATTTTTTAACAGCTTTACTGACATATGATAAAGTACGCATATTTGAAGTGTGCAATTCAATGTTGTTGTTTTTTTTGAGGAAGATCAGCCCTGAGCTAACATCTGCTGCCAATCCTCCTCTTTTTGCTGAGGAAGACTGGCCCTGAGCTAACATCCATACCCATCTTCCTCTACTTTATATGTGGGACGCCTACCACAGCATGGCGTGCCAAGTGGTGCCATGTCTGCACCCGGGATCCGAACCGGCAAACCCCGGGCCACCGAAGCAGAGTGTGCAAACTTAACTGCTGCGCCACCGGGCTGGCCCCTATCTTTAACTCTTTGAGGAACTGCCAAACTGTTTTCCATAGTGGCTGCATCATTTTACATTCCCACCAGCAGTGTAGGAGGGTTCCAGTTTCTCCGCACCCTCATTAACATTTGTCATGTTCTATTTTTTAAATTATATCCCTCCTTGTGAGTGTGAAGTAGTACCTCACCGTGGTTTAAATTTGTGTTTCCTTAGTAACTAATGACTTTCATGTGCTTATTGACTATTTGTATATCTTCTTTGGAGAAATGTCTGTTCAATTCTTTGCCCATTTTTAAATTGGGTTGTTTGTCTTTTTGTTGTTGAGTTGTAATAGTTCTTTATTCTGGATATTATGCTCTTATCAGATACATGATTTGGAAATATTTTCTACCATGTTGTAGGCTGTCTTTTCACTTCTTGTTAGTGCCTTTTGCAGCACAAAAGTTTTAAATTTTGATGAAGTCCAATTTGCCTATTTTTTCAATTGTTGCTTGTGCTTTTCTTGTCAAATTGAAGACTCCATTGCCAAATCCAAGGTCGTAAAGATTTACCCCTACATTTTCTTCTAAGAGTCTTATGGTTTTAGCTCTTACATTTAGGTCTTTGATACATTTTGAGTTAATTTTTGTATATGGTGGGTGGTAGGGATCCAACTTCATTCTTTTGCATGTGGCTATCCGGTTTTCTCAGCACCATTTATTGAAGAGACTGTTCTCCCCCCAATTCAATGAATAGTCTTGGCACTCTCGTTGAAAAATCAATTGACCATAGATAGATGGGTTTATTTCCGGGCTCTCTATTGTATTCCATTGGACTAGATGTCTATCCTTATGACGATTCCACGTTGTTTTGGTTACTGTGTCATTGAAGTAAGTTTTGAAATCAGCAAATGTCTTCAAACTTTTTTCTTTTTTAGGATTGTTTTTGATTATTTGGGCTCCCTTGTAATTCCACATGAATTTAAGGATCAGTTTTCCTGTTTCTGCATAAAAAGCTACTGGGATTTTGAAGGGCTCTGTAGATCACTTTAGGGAGTATTGCTGTCTTAACATCATTGAGTCTTCAATCCATGAACAGCGATATTTTTCCATTTATTTGTCTTCTTTATTTTTTTCAGCAATGTATTGTCTTGCACCTACTTGGTTAAATTTATTCCTGTTTTGTGTTTTGTTCTTTTTGTTCTGTTAGGGTATAGAAATACAATTAATTTTTGTGTATTAATCTTGTATCTCACTTTGCTGAACTTTATTAGCTCTAATAGTTTTATTAGCTCAAATAGTTTTGCGTGTGAATTAATTTTTTCTATATATAAGATCACGTCATCTGTGAATAGAGAGAATTGAAAGTTTAAACTTTTTAAGACACTGTTTCCCAAAGTGGTGGTACCATTTGACATTCCCGCCAGCAGTATCTGAGAGCTCCAGTTCCTCCACATCCTTCGTCACACTTAGTATGAGCCACACAATACCCCATCATTGACTTACGGGAAAATGGACAGTCAGAAAAGTTAAGTGACTTGCCCAGGGACCCCAAACCACCTTATCAGTCTGCTCAGGTCTCACTAAGTCTGTACCCCTAAACCCTCATTTCCCACTCACAGAAGAGGAAACTGAGACCCCAAGAGGTCACCCCTGGGAGTGACTCTCCAGTCTGCAAGAGCTGGGTCTGTTTTGTAGCCTGGCCCAAGCCAGAGGGACCAGGGACCTCCCCTAGGGTTCTGCCTCCTTCCTTTGCTCTCCTCCCACCCTGACACTGCCCTGGGCATCATCTTCCCCCAAACTTCCCAGTCCAGGGAGGCTGGGAGTCTTCTCTGTGACATCATAGAGCTGGTTGCCAAGGGAGACCTGCAGACCCACCCCCTAGGCAGGGCAGAGCAGAGCCCTCCTGCACCAGAGGCCCAGCAGCTCCTCCCCGACCACGCTGGCCCTCCATGGAAGCCTTGGTCTGTGCGTTCTCTGAGCTGCGCATAAGAGAAGGTGCCAGGCTGAGGGGAGGAGTGGCAGGAGGAGAGCTGCCCTCCTGTCCTGACCTGGGCCCATAGCCACCAGGGTGGCCTCAGGGACATGCATGCTTGGGAAAGGGGAATGGCCACTGGTCCAGACAGTGTGACCATGGGCTGTGTGGTCCTGGACCCACTGTGCAATTTCTGTACTGGCACCAGACTGCTCTTTCAAGGGTGGGGGGCAAAAAGAGGTGGCAGGAAGGGCTTGAAGTTCTGAAAGAGAATTTAGTGCCAAGGCTCAGGCTTCTCAGACCTCCCTGTTAGATGGGAGAGAAAAGAGGAATAGCATGTTGGGTCACAGGAGGCGATAGGCAAGGGACTGAGCCTATTTGACAGACAGGTAAGCTGAGGCTCCACAGGCCAGATATGGAGCCCATCACATGAGCGTGTGACTGCATGCTCCCCTCACGTCTGCTGTGGCCCACCAGCCACCACCCTCCTGCTCTCCCCTCCACAGATGCAGTGAGCTGGGCCCAAGGACACCCCAGCCACCCCAACACACCACCCAACATCTATGAGGGGGGGCTGGGGCAGCAGCAGTGCCCCAGTGCCCAGGGAAGCAAGCCCAAGAACTTCCGGCTGCGCCACCTCCGGGGCCTGGCTCTCTATCTACCGGGTCACATGCAGCTCGCCAGCCAGTGTGAGAGCCACTGGCTGAGCCGGCTCATGGCTGGGGGCTGCCTCCCACGGCCGGAAGGCATGGCTTGGCCTTTGGGCCTGCCACAGGGGACTCTGGGCCCAGGTAACAGCCACTGCTCAGCCCTTCTGGAAGCTCAACTGTCAAGGGACAGCCCAGGAAATACAGGTGAGCACCTGTCCAGGTGAGGCAGAACTGGGGACGGCGGGGGAAGACCCAGGGAAGGGTTGGGTTGGGGACTCAGACAGACTCAGACGGCCCCTTCTCCACGCCCAAGCCTCTCAGTTCTGCACTTGATGAGGGACTTTGGACAGCACCCTTCCCCCAGCCTCAGCTTCCCCTTTTGTAACATGAAGGGGTCAGGTTAGATGAGGATCCTTCCAGCTTGAACCATCTGTTTCCCTTTTCCTCCTCCCTCATGGGTTCTCTTTAAGGAGAACCGCCCCCTCCCCTCCTGTTTTGAAGGACACCAGGTTCTGGGGGTCATAGGACGGGCTGTCTGGCTCTCCTGGGTCCCTACGGGTGACTTCTCTCTTCCCTCTTTCCTCAGCTTCCAGTTCCAGCATGGACCCAGCCAAGGGTGCTTCCTCCCTGCCCAGTCCCCCAGAAGGCTTGGGGCTCAGGCCCAAGAGGTCCTGGGGGGCCTCAGAGGAGTCTACATGTCCACTGTGCAAGAGAACCCGCTCTGGGGCTCTGGAGAGGCCATAGGGATCTGAGTGCCAGGGCTGGTTCTCCTAGCTCGGGACAAGAGGGGAAAGGATGGCCCAGGAGGATGGGGTGGAGGTCCAGACAGGAAGGGCTGAGCCCCCACCAGTGGCCCCCCAACAGCGAGACACCCTGGCCGCTGCCCAGCACCAGAGCCTGGGCCAGCCTGGGGAAAACTCGAGGGGGGAGGGAGATGGAGGTCCGGCGGGAGGGACAGAAAAAATAGAAGCCTGGATGTGCCCTTGCAACCTGCTCCAACTCCAGTCGGTCACTTGTACCTGGGAGGCCGGGCTGAGTGGAGAGTTGGGCCAGGGAGCCCACAGGTCTAATCTCAATAAAAGCCAAGGCCTATACCTTCTGTCCCTTAGTCTGTCTGTCATCAGGCCATTTAGTCAGAGAAACAGCCCCTTGGCACCTGTGTTCTGAGAGCAAGGTGTCGACCTCAGGGGGGATCCAAGGCACTCCCACCCGTAGTTGAGGAGGGAGCCATCCTTCTCCAGGTGGAAATCCTGCAAGGCTTCCTGGGTGGACAGGGTCTCAGCAGGCCTAAACGTAGGGCTGACGTTCTGGCCAAGGTGGCAGAGGACAAAGGAAGGTAGGCAGAGTTTGGGGAGGAGAGCAAGTTCCCAACCTGAGCAGAAATGTGGGCCTGGATCCCACGCCACCCTTCACCCAGGGCTTGGTGGAGTTCACTGCTCCACAGGGACCCCAGCTGTTGTGCTCCTCCAGGTGGTACGGGCACAGTGCTTCTCCTCCCAGCTTAGCTAGACTCCAGGCACCCTGGCTTGGGCTTCTCTGCACCGGGGTGTCTCACCCTTGGCACTGTTGACATTTGAGGCCAGATTGTTCTTAGTTGTGGGGCTGTCCTGTGCCTTGCAGGATGTTTAGCAGCACCTCTGGCCTCCACCCACTAGATGCTGGTAGCTCCCTCCTCTCAGTTGTGACAACCAAAAGTGTCTCCAGACAGTGTCCAATGTCTTCTGGGGGGCAGAATCATTCTGGTTAAGACCCCCTGCTCTGTCACTAGACCTCATCCCTGTGGGGACAGGATAGGAGGACCTGGATTTGCCTCAATGACCCTCACTGTCTGGCTGGCTTCCAGTCCTAGCAGCCTGGGTCAGGCTGGGGCTGAGCTGCCCCTCCCGTGGTCTTCCGCCAGACCACACGTGATGGTATCAAGGACACTCTGGACACTAGGACAGCTGGGTTCCTCCAAGACACAGGGAATACTCTCAGGCCCCTCCCCTGCCTCTGTACCTTGTTCCACCCTTGGACATTTCATAGGTCCCTCGGACAGCAGATTCTGGAGACTTGGGTCCCTGGGTGGTTTTCAGGTTGTTGTATGGGTGTTGGCCTGGACAGTGGGAGCCTGAGGTAGCGGCAGCTGGAAAGCAGCCCCAAGAGGAGCAATGAGAGAGCAGGTGTTTCTACACTCCAGCTGCGACTGGGCAGGTGTGGAAGGGATGCAGCCATCCAGCTAGTCTGCCAGATGAGCGACGTGGATGATGGAAAGGGCAGCCCCCTTCTCTCTCTGCCACAACTCTCACTCCTCCAGGAGGCCAAGGCCAGGTGGACCTGAAGGAGTACTGCTCAAGACAGACCTGCCTGGGGTACCAGCCTAGGGCACTGGGCAGAAGTGAGACCATGCCAGGACTGCAATATGTGGTCCTTAGAGACAGTTAGGGGCCAAATCTCTTCCCTTTTGGATGAAGTTCTGAGGCTCAGAGACGAGCACAGACTGCCCCAAGGTCCAGATCTTGGGATGCCTAGGCTGTGGTCAGTGGCCACCAGTGGCCCCCCATAAGCCGCAGGTGCGGGTATTCTGGCCTGTGTGTAGTCCCTGAATCAGGACTGGCTCTGGGTCTTGCTTTATCAAAAGAATGTGGCAGAAGTGACATGGTATCACTTCTGGGTGTGAAGGAGGCCTGGCAGCTTCCAGTGTGTGCGCTGGGGAAAGTCAGCACCCACATAAGGAGCCCTACATGGTGGGAAACCAACCCAGCCCAGGGGAGATCTCGGCCGAGCTCAAAGCCATCTCAGAAGTGGATCCTTCAGCCTGTTGAGCTGCCCTAGCTGATGTGTGGAGGGTAGACAAGTTACAGCCCGGGTCTTTCCCCAAGGAAGGTCATCTGCTATAGCATGTCGGCCCCAAAACTGGCTGAGCTGGCCTCCAAATGGTTCCTCCCTAAACCTCCCAAAGCTTTCCTGAAAAGCACTCCAAACCAGCTGAGAAGCGGAAAAGCCAGTCGTGGCGAGCTGGGGTCAGGGAGTTGACATGAAGCAGGTGTTTACAGAAATGCACACTGACCACCCTTGGGTGACCCTACCTGAATGGCCTGTGGGTTTGGAACTGGGTCACCAGGAGTCAGTCTCAGCCCTTGGGAGACTGTGTCCTAGCAGCTCAATGGGCTGGGAGGGCACGGCTGCCTTTAGGGCAAGGCTCAACCAGAACCCCTGCCCTCTCAGGCAAGTTGATACTTGGCCACACAAATGACCAAGGGCCCCAAGGAGTCACCCCTTATCCCTGAAGCTGACCCATCAACATATGAACAGACTGAGGTACGTGTCTAAACAACCAAAGTGCGACTCACCAGCAGGAGGCATGCTCCTCAGTGCTCCCCACAGGGGTGTGTGCTGAGTCCAGGCCAGCTCCCCGACCTCCCACTCCATGCAGTGCCACCAGCCTCCACCCTGGCCCCATGTGCTCCCCCATGCCCAGCTCTGCAGGTACCTTGGGCCCTGTCCCCCAGGGAGGGCCATCTGGGCGATGCCCAGCCCTCGGGGAACAGCACACATGGGCTTTGGGGGCCCCAGACCTGGTTTGGGCTCTCAGGCCCACCATTCATGAGTTTTGTGGCTCTTGGGTAACCCCTTGCCCCTGAACCAGTTTTCCTTATCTGTCTAATAGGGTGACAAGCATGAGCCCCTGTCCCCACGTGGCTAGAAGCTCCAAAGAGAGGTCAGTGGAAGCACCAGGTCCTGGGCTTGGCCAGGGGTTGGGACATGCAAGCATCCACCTCAGGCTCCCATGGTGGGGTGCACTGGCCCAGGGTCCCCGCCTGACCATTGCGTTGAGTCACCTGTGGAGCCTTCTGTAAGCCAGGACAGTGCCTCCCAGGAGGACCAGGCCCCAGCTCAAGGCCCAGGAGACCCTTGGACAAATGGGGCAGCTGCCGAGGACCTTTTCATTTCAGAAAAAGAACCCACTTGTGCTTTTCAGCTCGCTAGAACCTCTTCCCCAGGACGGAATTCTTTGGCAGGGTGAATTACACAAAACAACAGGCCCTTTCAGCTGGAAGCCATCCTTGGGACTTGACAGCGGACAAGCAGTTCCTGGGCCGCCCTCAGCCATGGCTCAATGTGCAGGGGCAGGGCCCAAAGTGCAGCAAGCCCTGGGCTGGAAAGACAGGGTGTGACCAATGGAAGTCTGTTTATTTGTTTGTAATGAGACAAAACACTACAATCCATTCAACATGGGGCTGGATACTGCAGTGATTAGGAGGCAGGGAGGGAGGGGCAGGGTGAAGCCTCTGAGCTGAATTATGAATGTCCAAGGCAGAACCTTCTGGAAGACTCTTCCCTTACCCCGCGGGGCAGAAATAAAAATCACATGATCATCGTTGATTCAGATTGAAGAGGACACCGATCTGGGCCTCAGCACGATGCCAACATCAGCGCAGAGGTGGGGACCAGTCAGCGGCTGAGGGAGGAATGCTTTTCCTGCCCGGGACTCAGCTTCATCTCGAGAACCGTGAGGCCAGAGGAGCCCTGTGCTGGGCCGTTCTGAGGGAGGGAAGGATACCAGTCACCGAGGCCCCCTGCCTGGGCTGTTCCCCCTTCTCCTGCTCTCAGGCTGGTGCACTGTGGCAATGGCTCTGTGAACCTGCAGCAACGCTGGGCATGACTCTGCGCCACCCCCTCGACTCTGGAGGGCAGGGTAGGCAGCAAGCAGCTTTGGGGGATGAGGGTGGAAGGGATGCCAGAAGCAAGTGATGCCCACACGCACATTTCCCAGCACTCACAGCCTCTCCTGCCTCTGCCCCGAGGGGCTGAGGGATCACAAGGCACGTGACTGCCTCCAGCCCCAAAGGCCAGGCCCCACTTGATCACACTCAGCTTCCTCCTGTCTGCATGTGGCCAGGCCTCGGAGCTGCAGCTCAGGGGGAGTTGGGAGGCTGGGGGAAGAGGACCCCAGGGAAGCTCACCAGCCCCTGTCCTCAGCCTTGCTCCCTGTGGCAGTTCAGCTGAATGGAGCAGCCCCGATCCGATGAGCAGTTCTGCGCTGTCCAGGGCAGTACGCAGCCCATAGTGGGAGGCTGCTGGGGGACTCAGCCTCCCAGTGAAGAGTGGGGAACTGTCGCGTTATCTGACCATCCTCAACAGGGAGCTAAGCCCCAGAGCTCTGAGCTTGGATGAAAAGCCTCCTTGCTCTGCCCACCACGTGCCAGTCCTTCGTGGAGCGGTGGGGGCTGCTCCTCCCCGACCCTGGCTTCTTCGGGCTGGTTCTGGACAAGGGTCTGGCATTCCCTTTAATTCACCCCCTCGTTATTCTGAGGTTCCTGTGTCTTTAGGGTCAAGTCTGTCCATAACACTTGGGTTCCTCCTTGCCAGCAGAAGTTCATTCTGGCTTTGGAGGAAGGAGCTGGAAGGAACAGGCAGTGGAGGGGAAGAGGATGGTAAGGGGGCGAAGAGGAACGTCCCTTCCAGTCCTCTTGTTCCTGGGGCAGCAGAAGAAGCAGACCACAGTGACTGGTGCCACACTCCAGCTCATAGGTCTGGTGGGTACACATGGAGGCAGGACCAGGGCACGGAACAGAGGTGGAGGTTTCCAGAGAGGGAAGGAGAGCTGGAACAGCCTGTGGGAAAGAGAAGAAGGGAGCAGGGGTGAAGGTCTCCGCAGAGATGCTGTGCCCTATCCTGTACCGCCTGCCCTAGGAGCCTGAAGCTGGGCAAATCAAAGCACTGATGGGAGTTCCGGCCCAGGTGGCCAGGAGCGCCACTGTGTTAGATTGGCCTAAGCCACCAAACCCGATTGGGCCGTGTCCACCACGCACAAGGAGGTGGACCCCAGAGTTCCCCATGATCCCTTCCAGCTCTGATATTTTCTAAGGTCTGAGAGATCAGCTCCCTGTGGCACTCATGGTGCTCAGAAGTGGCCATGTCTCAGCAGAGCCTTCATCTATGAGGTGCCCGCCACAGGGCAAGGCCACACGGAGCTTCAGTTTGAGCTGACAAGGCTGCTGGTCTGTGATGGGTCTCTAGAAGGAAGCCTGAGACACAGCAGCTCTGAATGCCCCACCCAAGAAGAAGCTGAATGGCTGGGGGTGGAGGGAGGAGGGGCTTGATCTTTTGGTATCTTTTCAGTTTCTGAACCATATGAATGCATTATTTTTAAAACGTTCAGGAAATGAAAAGATAAAGTTCTGGCCAGGGGCTTAGAGACTCTGCTTTCCTTCCTAAAGTTTCTGAGAGTTGGTCAAGAACTACTTTAGCCCTTGGCACTGCTTTCCAACATCCCTGAGCAGCAGGTGCCCATCCAGGGCCTTCTGTTTTTGTTGCTGAAAGCGCCAGGCTCTCAATTTCTTAGTACCATCATCCCACTGGGTTCTGCTCCCCTTTTCCCCACCACCTGCTCTGGCGTACCTGTCGGAAACTGGGGGCACCCCGTGACGCTCTGCTCCTGAGCCCATGTAGCACCGGGCCTGCAGGTGGGGCAGGCCAACGGGCCTGGCAGGTGGCTGGCAGCTCCTTTGCAAAGGACAGCCAAGATCAGATGGCTGGGAAGGTGGGTTCTGCAGGGTGCTGAGGGGTTGGGCCTGGTGGAGGCTGCCTGGCTGGTGTCACATGGTCCGGCTGTACTCGATGCCGCCCTTGGTAGAGATGCTGGACCACGGCAGGAAGCTGCAGAGCAGGCTGTGGGCCTGGCGGTAGATCCTGTGTGGGATGGAGCAGGGGCTCAGGTTCGCTATTGCAGAGCCCAGATGCTGGATATAGTCCGTGGGGCTCTGTTAAGAAAGATCCAACTTGTCTTGCCTGCCCACATACCCCTGGGTGGCACTGTCAGCAGGGGCCTGCATGGCAACTTGAAGGACTGTGTGCAAATGGCACACCATTCTTGACGGAGGCCAAGAGCCTGCTAAGTCTCTGCTGAGTTTTGGAAAGCCTCATTACCTGGAGGGGCCTCCATTGTGCAAAATTACAAAGGGAGGTACCTGGGTGCAAGAGGGCCTTCCGGGTGAGGCCTCAGGCACACGGACACCCAGACTACAGCTGACAGACAGGGACTGGGTGCTCAGGGGAGGGGTCTGGCAGAAGAGCAAGTGCTCCTGGTTCTCCCTTACACTCTCAATCCTCGGAGAGGCAGGGCCCAAACCCTGTGACAAGGAGGGGGGTCAACAGTGCTGACCCTGTGGATAGCCACAGATACCCATCTTCACATGAGCGAGGAGGCCTGTAGGCTTGTGGGCCACCCTTCTCTTTCCTGTTTAATTCCCTATGAAGCGGATAAATCCTACACTCATTCATTTAATTTCTCTCTCTCTCTCACACACACACACACATTCTCTCTCTCTCAGAGTATTTCTTGGGCCACACCCTATGACTACCAGGAAATCTCCTGGCCTCCCTCCTACCTGTCAAGGGCCAGAAGGTGAAAGAGGAGGGAGTGGGGAAAGGACACACCTCTGGGTCACGTGCTCCAGTAAGGAAGGTTTGAGCCCAAGTGTTGAAAACAGCCAGTTCTTTTCACCTAACTTGTCTTTTTTTTTTTTTTTGAGGAACATTAGCCCTGAGCTAACTACTGCCAGTCCTCCTCTTTTTGCTGAGGAAGGCAGGCCCTGAGCTAAGATCCGTGCCCATCTTCCTCTACTTTCTATGTGGGACGCCTACCACAGCGTGGCATGCCAAGTGGTGCCATATGCACCCGGGATCTGAACCAGCGAACCCTGGGCCGCCGAGAAGCGGAACGTGCGCACTTAACGGCTGCACCACTGGGCCCACCCCTAACTTGTCTGTTTTCTCCCCTGGCAGCACACAGGCCCCATTAGGACAGGGGCTCATCTGTTTTGTTCACTGCTGTGGCTCCCATACTCCTGGAACAGGAGGCTCTCAATTTGTTGGATGGACAGATGGTTCGTGGGCCAAGAGGGTTAAAACCCACCCCTCATACCAGCTGAAGTCTGGGGAACACCGAGTGCACCTGCTTTCCCAATGTGTGCAACCAGACCATCATTTCCCAACACATGCAAGCCCAATCTCCCTACAACACCATCTGGTCGGGGAACTGCATCCAGTGAGCTTGGCTGCGTGACTGTCATCTGGAGGTGCCCACGGCTCCAACTGGCGCACAGGCCCTGCTGTGGCAGCTAGGAAGCCACAATCCCTTGCCCCCGAGAAGGAAAGGATATAGGATGGTCCAGGGAGGGTGGCCACCATTGATGTAGAGGACGTAGGTGAAGCCATCTTTGAGGACCCCTCGGATGGAGTAGTAATACGGGAGATAGTGATGCTGCTTGAAGTCTCTGTTTTCGTAGAAGTTTATTGCTGTGTTGTTGGTGGTGAGGACGTGTAGGTAGATGGCTTTGCAGTGGTCTTGGGCGGTGGTTGATATGTGATCCTTTAAACTCTCAAGTAAAAGGGAACCTGTGGGAGAAGACGTAATGGTCACACATGGCGGGGCAGGCGGGAAGGAAGCACGCGTCAGACAAGGAAGCACCTTTGCAGAGATCGCTACAGATCTCTCTGCCCACTGTATCAAAGACCCACCTTCCATAACCACCCACTGTCGAAGTCCCTAAAAACCCACGGCCAGGTGGGGCCTGGTAGCTGCAGACCATCAGTGGTCTGGGACAACAGATATGGGCCAGGTAGTTCCCTCCCCGGGGCAGGACCTGCAGTGGAGGCTCACTAACCTTTCAGACAACAAAAAGTGTAAACCTGAGCCCAGAAAAACATAGAATAGACAAGTCTGGGCTACAAATGAAGACTCTGCCGCTCACTGGCTGTGTGACTGAGTAAGATGGGAATTTAGAGACAAGCGCATGGCACAGTCCCCCACAAGTGATGGGCATCTGATAAATGGCAGCTTGGGCTGTTTCTTCAATTGTGTTTTCTATTCTTAATCAAGAGTACCTCGTGACCAGACATGAGCTCTGTGTGTGGTGGTGGGCCTGGTAAGAGGTGCCCATTCCCTAGTGAGGATGTTCAAGAACTCTTATTAATCTGATCCTGTCAAATTTGGGAGTGAGGCCATTGCAGGAAGACCTGGTGATGTACGGAAAGAGCACGTGTTGAAGCCAGTGGGTGGGGTGGGGCCGGGAGACTTGTTGGAGGAGGAAGGATAAAGGTCTGACCCAAGACTGAAGGACAAGGGAGGGAGGAAGAGACCGAGGGATGTTTATGAGCTAGAATCATCAGCACGCGGGAAGTGACAGGACATGGGTGAGTGGGGTGTACGTGCCAAAACCCTGCGCTCTGCTGCCCCTTACCTATGCCGTGCTTTCTGAATTCCTTCACTACTCCCAGACTTAGAATGTACGCAACTTGTGTGTCAACAGAGAAGTTGGAGGCTAGAATATCTCCATCCTAAAGAAAAAGTCAGAAATTAAAGTCAGGTTAACAGTTGAGGAACCAGCCCCACTGCAGGGCACTTACGCGCCAACCCCCACACTACCAGCCATGACACCTGGGGGGACACGAGGGTGGGAGGGGACAGAACAGAGGATAATGGATTCACTCTGCCTCCCCATGGAAACGAGAGGGTTTGGGCCCTTCTGGCAAAAAACTCCTCAAGTAAGAACACACATGCAGTCACTTCTCTTGGGGACAGTGGTGGATCAGACAAGGAAGGACACTGATGCTAGACGGGTGAAGTTACGGAAGAAAAAAGGAAACGAGTGTGCTGCATGGGCACTTAAGCTGATACACCAGAGACAAGACAGTGAGACAAACACCAAGTTTGAAAAGGTTTAGTTAAAGGGTCCTACACTGCCCCCAGGTGGTCTCGGAGTAAAGGAGTGGGGGCTTGGGTGGCCCCTCCACCACCCTCTGTTGCCCACGTCAGGCAGGGCAACACGCCACAACATGCCACCTCGTGTGCGTCTCTTGGTTCCAGAGACAGAATTCTGGACAGGGAGGGTCCTGAATCCACCCACCATGAGGTTATTATGTTCTTCTACCTCATAGAGAACAAGAAGAGATACTGTGTGTACGGTTTTCCCCCCATGAAAAGGATGCTTGGCGATTCAGGCTTTCTGGTCCCATCTACTGTTCACTGAGAGGCTCCCACGTGCTGGGCATGGTGTCAGCCCGTCCCTGCTCTCCCGGAGCCTGCACTGCATGCCAGTTAACCTGGACACAGGTGAACTTGCCCAGTGGTCTCAGGGGAGAGCATCCTTATTGTTGTCGTTACTCAAAGCCCATGGAAGGGTTAGGGAGGCGAGGCAGGCACTTTGTTCCTGGCTACTGTCTTCTAACAGGCCCTGCTTTGCCCCAGGGTTGAATTCACTCAGCCTCTCAGCAAGGCCCAAGCAAGTGCCAGGTGCCAATGCCAAGGTTCCCTCTCCTCTCCAAGAGATGAGGGAGCATCTCTGCCCTCAAGGGAAAACTAACACATTCAAAGGAGCACAGAGATCTAGTCACCACGAATGGGGGGCAGGACAGACGCCAGAGGGCACTCAGGAAGAGCTGCAAGGAGGGGGCTTTGGGAAACAGGTCACGGAAGGGGGCAGGGGCAGTTTGTCCCGTGCAAAAGCAAAGATCAACAGGATGCCGACACTTGCTGAAAACACCACCATTTCTTTCTTTTTGCTCTATGCTGGCACTGAAAATTGGAAGGAAAAAAGCTCAGGAGGAAGATGGGACAGAAAAAGTTACTCTTAAAAGAAACCAACTTTGCCAGAATCTAATAAATGGGGTAGACTTGAGTGGGTCAGGTCTTTAAAAGGGAGATGTCCTTCTTGCAGTTTTAAAGAAATAACATTGGGGCCAGCCCCGTGGCACAGCGGTTAAGTGTGCACGATCTGCTTGGCCTGGGGTTTGCTGGTTTGGATCCCAGGTGCGGACGTGGCACCGCTTGGCATGCCATGCTGTGGCAGGCGTCCCACATATAAAGTAGAGGAAGATGGCATGGATGTTAGCTCAGGGCCAGTCTTCCTCAGCAAAAAGAAGAGGAGGATTGGCAGCAGATGTTAGCTCAGGGCTGATCTTCCTCAAAAAAATAAGTAAAGAAATAAATAAAAATAAAGAAATAACATGAAGCTGAACAGATAGAAACATTTTCCAGGTGTCAGTGGCTTTTCCCTCTCCTTGGAGTATATACTCACGTGGTAAATACTATTCAGTCGCTAAGACCAAAATTACTCAGCAGAATCTTGACCCAAGTCAGCCACATGGAACAATGCATTTGTGGCCGTGGTCTCACATTTTACATTTAGAGCAGGGCTTGCTCACTTGAGGTCCACAGACCTTCAAGGGTTCTTAGACAAATCTTGAAGGGGTCTATGAAGCTGGATGAAAAGAAATTATATCTTTATTTTCACTAACCTCTAACTGAAACTTAGCATTTCCTTCAAGAAACCACAGCAGTATTAGTAGCTTCTGTGACACTGCCGCCAATACGAGTCACAGATATTTTCGCAGTCCCTTACAACAGTGCAGATTCTCAGTGCATTGTTTATGCTCCTCCCTACTTCAAAATGAGAGTTGTTATGAAACCTGCGTTAGGTCTTTTATTTAATGTACGAAAGACGGTATCTTGTACACACAGAAAGAAACCAACTGGGTATGAGTCTCATGCGCGGTCCGGGCTCCTAAGGGAAGGGGCCACAGAGCAGGCAGTGGGATTCTGTCACAGCCCTCACAGGCCCATCCAGGGAAGCGACCACCAAGTCACTGCCACACAGCCTTACCTCCTTGTGTATCTTGGTCCTACTTTTTATTTCAGCTACTATCATGCCCACAATGGCGCCCCTGTAGGTGGCAGCAAGAGAAAAGAACTTCTTGTTGGAGGTGATATCACGATACCATGAGTCTGGGTACCTGAGGAGGAAAATAAACTGAGGTCAAGGCCAACTAACGTCCTGCTCAGACAGTGGAACCACAAGGAACTCCAGACTGCTCTGCCTACGGCTCCGGGGCTGACAAGGAGTCAGTCTATCACTCAGTCCAAAGGGTCTTCTTCAAGCAGTGATCTGTCCAGATGGGCCTGGGAATTTCTGAGGGGAAAAATGATTTTATAAGACATAAGAGACGAGAAGGGGGACAAACCTCTGACGGTACTATCTCCACGACAACAGTGCCTGGAGGGGCAGCTGGATGAGTTAAGAGTGATGGCTCCTTGTAGCCCACGGACACTTGGGTAATTTCCGAGAATTCTGTGAGACTTTCTGAAGACAGGGGAGTGGTGTGGGAACAGCCAAGTTCACAGCTGAGTAGCATTTGTGTCACGCACCTCCCTGACGGGGCAGGGATAAGCCCTCAAGGGCAGGGTGTGGCCAGGGCTGCTAGGGGCTGCTCTCCAAGACCCCTCCAAGGGAAGCAGGGAAGAGAACACTTAGCGCAAAGCGCCAGGATGCAAGGATGAAAAGGCAGATTCAGCCACCACCAAGGAGACAAGGTCAGGAGGGCAGGGGCACATGGGGCTTTATGGGTGTGTGGGTTTGTTTCTTCACTTGGGACAGACATAACAGGGTGGCCTGGGATGTCTTTCTTTAGACCAAGAGCTAGAGGAGGGTGGCGCACCCTCAGTGACACGGCGGAGAGGTGCTCTACTCGGCTCTGCTCTGCAGAGGCCACTGACCACTCACTGGGAGGTTCTACAGGGCCCGAGCATCGCCCGAGCTCCTCCCCTGATCACACTCTCATCTTCTGACCCCAGGAGTGCTCAGGTGACATGGCAGCCAGGACACGGAGCTGTGACCACACAGCCCGATGGGACCACAGTTCGCTCCGCCATCTCTGGAACCTGAGGCCTCAGGCCCTGGAAGCTGTGAGGAGAGGCAGGTAGGCTGGGCATCCCAGGAAGCACAGAGGCTCCAGCCCAGTGTAGCTCCACCCTAGCCCAGGTCACTCTCAGCAGGGTCTTACCTACTTACTTAATGGATTACTTTCCAGCGTGGGACTGCGGAGTTGAAGAGTTTACTTTTTAACCTATAAAGCCTCAAGGGGCCCACATCCCCAGCACGCTGTGACAATTCACATTCCCACTGAGATGTAAGGGTCGCCCTTTCCCTCCCTTCCTGCTGGCAGCAGGTTAAACAACCAGTCTGAAGTTAAGACTCATGGAAATATGATGGTCGGTAGGATCTAGTTTATTTTTAATTTTAAAAAGTTTGGGGGCTGGCCCAGTGGTGTAGTGGTTCAGTTTGCATGCTCCGCTTCAGTGGCCTGGGGTTCACGGGTTTGAATCCCGGGTGTGGACCTACCACCACTCATCAAGCCATGCTATGGCAGGGTCCCACGTACAAAATAGAGGAATATTGGCACAGATGTTAGCTCAGCGACAATCTTCCTCAAGCAAAAAGAGGAAGACTGGCAACAGATGTTAGCTCAGGCCCAGTCTTCCTCACCAGAAAAAAAAAAAAAAAAGTTTGGGCACTAGCCTTATGGTGTAGTGGTTAAATTCACATGCTCCACTTTGGTGGCCCAGGGTTTGCAGGTTTGGATCCTGGGCATGGACCTAGTACCACCTGTCAAGCCACACTGTGGCAGCAACCCACATAAAACAGAGGAAGATTGGCACAGATGTTAGATCAGTGACAATCTTCCTCAAGCAAAAAGAGGACAATTGGCACAGATGTTAGCTCAGGGGCAATCTTCCTCACACACACACACATACACACAAAGTCTGCGCCTATTTTTCATACTACAAAAGCTATACAGTCATGCATCGCTTAATGACAGGGATAACTTCTGAGAAACGTGTGGTTAGGTGAGTTCGTCGTCGTGCGAACACCATAGCGTGCACTTGCACAAACCTAGATGGTACAGCCCACTACACGCCTAGGCTACATGGCACTAACATGATGGGACCACCATCGTATATGCAGTCCACGTGGTTCTGCAGTGCATGACTGTACATGTACGCGGAAAGGGCCCGACAGCACTCAGGAGCAGGAGCTGGGGTCCACTGACAGGTGAGGTGATTCTGGCCCACACGGTACCTCCAGGCCATCCTCACCTTCGGAGCAAGTCTTCCAGCTTCAGCACCTGCAGATCTGTGCACACTCCCCCACCCTTCCCACCTGCAGCTGGGGACAGCAGGCGATGCTCCACTTACTCGATGGGGAACCAGTCGCCGCACAGATGCTTCACGGTGTCTATGTCATCGTGGCAGAGGAGACGCAGACTGACCTCGCTGAGGGCACTGGATGGCACCACCTCTGTCATTCACACCTGCAGAGAGGGACACAGGTGGCGTCAGGAGGGCGGCCGCATCCCCTCATGGCACATTCACTTCCTCCTCCTCCTCATAGCAGCCTGTGAGGCAGGCAAGATGGGAAAACTAATACGGTCTCCCATGGCCAGAGGTCTCCTCAGTAACTGAGAGGAGTGTTTCTGTCCCTCATAATAATCTCATGCACCAGGTGTCACAGTCGCCACTACTTTGCAGACAAGGAAACAGAGGCTCGGGAAGGGCTGACAGGATGGGGACCCAAGGTCCCCTGCCTGCTCACTTGGGACACTCCTGAGCCCTGCAGAGGACAGCTCGCCTCTGGTCTGTTTTTTCTCTCCTCTCTGCTCCTCTGAGCACCCCACACCAGCCCCAGTTCTCCCTGGCCAGTCTCACGTCTCCCTCACAGTGCTGTTTCTCCACGACAGAAAGCACACGGCCCCACCAGCCCAACTTCTTCTGACTTGGGCTGGTGGCTGCCAATGATGGACAATAAGGGGCTCAGCAGCCCCAGGACTCAGTCCCCTTCGGAACAGCCTGGGCAGGGCTGATGACCTGCTGGATTTCCACGGGAAGTGGCGCTTGCTGGGTGGGTCATTTCTCCTCCCCTATCCAGCAGATGAAGACGTGTGAGTAGAAAAAAAAGAGACTTGGCAAGACACGGAAAGTTCAAATCAGGGGTCATGAGTTGCCAACGACTCTTTCAAATCAGGAAACTACGTTCAATCCAAGTTGCTGATAGCGCAGCTTCTCTTGTTTTGGTTAAAGGAAGGGAGGGAGGCAGGAAGGAAGGCCAAGTGGTAGGCTCTGACAAAGGGAACACAGGAGCATTTTTAAGTTGAAAGCTGGTAATAAAAGGCAAAGGATCCTGCATTTACCCCATCTTTTGAGAAGGAACTGTACATTTCATCCTGAACGGTCAAGGAAAGGTTCTTTTTATAGAAGAATGACAGCCAATAAAAATAGAAATAATGATAGAATTGGAACGTCACCACTTTGGAACCACTGATGCAAGCAAGAATCATCAACGGCTGTTAAACCACGTGGCGAAGGGAGCTGAAGCACAGGTATGAGGCATGGAGGCAAAGCACCCGCGCCCCCAGGACTTACCCACGGCCAAGGAAAGCCAACCTTTCACCTTGGAGATCACCCAGTCATGCTTCCCTCAGTGATGGGCCCAGCGTGCGACATACACAAAGCCCTCAGTGTTCCCGCCTAAAACACTGGGCCTGAGCCCAACCTAGCCTCCAGACTTAACTTCACATGGCACACGGATATAAGTTCAAGGGCACTGTGACATCTGACAAACACAGAATGGTGACGTTCTACAAGACAACTGGTCTGTTCTCTTCAAAAAGTCAGCATCACTAAAAAAAAACCAAAGTAGACTAAAGGAGACAAGAAGACCTACAACCAAACACAATGCGTAAATCCCTACTGGAAAAAATAAAAAGGCAAAACAACATTTTGTGAAATTCAAACATGGGCTAGCACTATGGAAAACAGTATGGAGATTTCTCAAAAAATTAAAACTAGAAATACCATATGATCCAGCTATCCTACTACTGGGTATCTATCCAAAGAACATGAAATCAACAGTTTAAAGAGATTTATGCATCCCCATATTCATCACAGCATTATTCACAATAGCCAAGATGTGGAAGCAACCCAAGCGCCCATCAACGGATGAATGGATACAGACGATGTGGTATATATACACAATGGAATACTAAGGAGCCATAAAAAAAGACAAAATAGTGCCATGTGCGACAACACGGATGGACCTTGAGGGTATTATGCTAAGCGAAATAAGCCAGAGAAAGACAAACACTGCATGATTTCACTCGAATGTGGAAGATAAACAAATATATGGATAAGGAGAACAGACTGGTGGTTACCAGAGGGGAAGGAGGTGGTGGGAGGGAGAAAGGGCTAAAGGGGCACATATGTATGATGACGGTTAAAAACTAGACTATTGTTGGCGAGCACGATGCAGTCTATATAGAAACTGATATATAATAATGTACACCTGAAATTTACACAGTTACAAGGCAATATGACCTGAATAAAATAATTTTTAAAATAAATAAATATGGGCTAGAAGGCAGATGATGATATGAAATTACTAACTGTCTTAGATGTGAAAGGGTATAGCAGTTATTTAGAAAGTCTTAGGAGATGCATGCTGAAATATTTTGAACCGAAGCATCATGAGGTCTAAAAGTAACTTTAAATGGTTCAAAAAATGTCAACTACTTAGGAGGCATATATGACAAAATGCTATTAACTGTTGAATCTAGGTGGCAGGTAAGATATAAGATCTTATTGTCTATACATTCAATTTTTCTATAGTTTGAAATTTGTAATGATAAACATTGGGGTTCAGAGGGGCCGTGAAGAGGACTGTCATTACTCGCCTAAATTTACTCCAGAAACCACAGTTCTGTGAACAAGCACCATGATAGTTCACGTGACATCCAAAGGTCAAAGGGACCGGATGCTCAGCCCTCACAACTCAGCGAGCCCAAACAAGGTACCTGAGGCAGTTCTTCAAGGTCACCTGCTTCCCTGACCCCTATTCATGCCTGGTTCTCAATGACCTCAGGCATTCCCATGAGGGTCCCCGGGAAGGCCATGTCCTAACCTGCCACTTGCCAGGGGTGAAATCTACCCTGAGACTTGACCACAGGGCCAGGGAGGCAGCTGCTTAGCCTCCGATCCCTGGACACAACCCCGGCACACTCTGCCAGCAAGAAGAAGAGCTCCTTCAAGGGTCAGCCATGGGCTGGCAGCACCCCCCAGGACGAGGTGCTGTTGGGGAGCCAGGCCAAGGGCTGGCGGAGGGCAGGAGCCCCTTAGGCCGGGGAATGACAGGTCTGTTGCTGTGCCCCCTTCCCCGCCAAGGCACGAGCCAGTCTGAGGGGGACATCTGGGGTGGGGGCTTTAGAGGCAAGTCCACAGGCCTGGAAATGTCACTGTGACCTTGGTGACCTTGAAGCAGACATACAGGGTGGGTGGGGAGGCAGGAGGAGGCAGAGGTACTGCAGGAGCTCCGTGGCTCTGTGGCCACATTTGTTCCATCTTTCCAGCACTCACCAGACTCTGAGGGGTAGGGACAGTGCCACCTTGACAGGTCCCTCTGCACGGCACTGGCTCAATAGCTGAAGTATGAGGGGATCTGCTTTCTCCTCCTTTCTCCATGTTTACACGCCAACACCTGCACACTGCCCACGTGGTGTCTGCAAGGCAGGGGCCACTCCTGTGACCCTTCGGCAGCACTGGCTGCTCTCACCTGGCCTGCATGCAGAGGGGCTCTGAGGGGGACGGAACGAGAAGCTCATCAGGACAAGGAACTGGTGTGTTCCTGCCTGAGGCCTGTGGGTCCCCACAGGTGCTGGATCAGGAAGCAGCTTAGGTACCGCCTACACCTTAGAAAGGAGCGGTGTCCCCAGAGAGTGCCCTGCTGGAGAAGACTAGTCATTATAAGGGGATAGAATCTCTAGACACAAGATCCGGATGGAACCTCTGAGAGATGAGCTATCCAAACAAAAGTCTCTCTCTGCAGGGCAGAGACAACCATTCATGTCCTTGTTTTCAGATGATAAAAGAAGGGACATAGCCATTCCAAAAATTAACGTAAGAGGCCTGTTGAGAAAGGGCAGCCAGAGCTGCTGGGCTGTGCTTGTTTGAGTTCTCAGTTCCAAACACAAAACAAAACTAAACAGCAAAAAATACTCCCAGACGCGGCAACTCTGATCTTCCCATATTGCCAGTTTTTTCTTTTCCCTGGGATGGGCCTTCAGAAACTAAGACACTGTCCAGCCCCATCTCTGTAAACGGCTTGACCATTTGGTCCCCCCACAGCAGGGCCATTCCAGCGCTCAGCACCTGCTTCCGCCACCACCTGATCCAGTCCCCATGCCCGATGGCACCCAGGACGTTCTGGTTAATGTGACCTCAGGGACCTTATGCCCCTCAAGAGGCTGGCCACCTCTTGGGAAATGGACTGGTCGACCAAAAATGGCAAGTCCTGAGTTTTATGAGTCATCTCTGACCAAAATATATCCTAGCGGTCACTGGCTAGGATGCGGCTCCCCAGTCATCCCAGGTAAACGGCCGTTTTGCTCCACGTAACACAACTGTACGGGTTCAAGGGATTCACTTGCCAAGGGAGGATGGAGCCCCGCCCATCGCGTTCACAGGTACAAAGTGCCTCTTCCCAGGAGGTTTCTGCACAACCCCCACTGCGCGGGCGACCCTCCCTTCCCCCACAAAGGGAACAGATTCCACAAAAAAACCTCTAAAAGCAACAACTGAAAGTGTTATTAATCTTGTTACATCTGAGAATAACATTGTGGTTATGTAGAAAACGGCCATATTCTTTAAGAGATGTGCTCGGGATATGTAGGGGTGAAATGACAGAATATTCTGGAATTTAATTTAGTTGGAGCAAAAGTGGCAAAGTGTTGATAATTGTTGAATTGGATGATGGGTATGCCAAGTGGATGTCTGAAAATGTTCCTAATTAAAATTAACAACCAACCAACCAAACTTCTCCACAGAGGCTGAGTTTCAGATATTCATGGCAGGCTTTCCAGGGGCTTTGGTGTCCTGCACCGAGAGACATCCTGCAGCAACTGCCATGGCCTCTGCATACCTCCACACTGGGAACCACAAGTTCTCAGCAAACCGTGGCTGGCTCACTTACCTGTACTCTGGACCCCAGGTGGGTTAGGCACCTAGTTGAGAGTGTTATGGGTACAGGGAATATAACCTGGAACCCAAGTTAACCAACTCTCAAACTCCCCTGAGGTTTTTAAAGATCCACAGTGTAGATACTTGCAAGTAGACCAAGGACACGGCACTATTTTAGAAGCTGTGCTTGAAGCTGCCCAAGATGCTAAGTATCAACCACACAGCCAGTTTAGGGAGACACCCCTTCCCTCTCCCTTCATGGCCAAGAAAACTGAGAAATGCAAGGAGTCCCTGCCAAAACCTGAAG